CGTAAGCCATTAATTCAATTTGTTGTCAATACGCCTTTCAACTTTCTACTATATTCGGCAACATGGTTTAACCGCCTTTTACCGCCGTGGTCGTTTGATTGAAATATGAATAAAGAAATGTTTTCTGGCCGTCCGCTGATAGCATATTTCAAAAAGTGTCATTTATACCAAAGCCATGTAATTATATTACTTTATTGTTTTCTGATATTATTCGAAAAGGACAAAACATGTTTGGGGTTTTGTTTTATATTATTAACTAATTTTAATTTATTATAATTTCCTACCTGTTTAAGGGTAGCTAGCTATAGCAATCATTTTGCTCGGATGTTTATGACAAGTTATGTATTATTATTATAATTAATTCCTACAACAACCATCATAACGAACTATATTTTAAAAAGTAATAACCTATATTTTGGTCCTTTCCTATTAAACTAGCGGACCCGACACACAGACTTTGTCCTGCCCACGCGCGGCCACATAATGAAATAATAAGTCCTAGTGTAGAATTATAATCATCAAAGTTCTCCAGTATATTTTTCCAAAAAATAAAAAATTAAATGTTACTACTTTATCACTGCCTTGAACAGCAAGGATGTGATTCAATACATTGCTCAACCAAGAGAAAATTTTGCGGAAGAGATGCATTTTGACGATAACCATGTTTATTTTCAGAGATAAATTACTCCTTATTATACTGAAATTCATGGTGCTATTTTTTGTTTAATGAGCGTCTGATTCATTTTAGGTGTTGGTAGAGGTACCTACTATAATATTGACACAAATGATAAGGACAGTAGGCTCCTAGTATAATAGTTAAAAACTTTCAACCTTTCGTATTTAAAGGTGGTTTCATATAATATCGGAGTGGTCAAAACTTCTTGTGTTTCAATGTCGTAGGATGATTTAGATCAAAAACCTGTCTTCTAAAGATTGACAAATGTCATAGGCTTTGTCTAATTATTATCCGTGTTTCCGCAAAATTCGTAGGATTTACGCGAAAAATTGAATTATCATTATGATCCCACGACATATATTATGTTTACTTAGTTAGTTTGTGTTGTCATCAAGACCGATTTTTCCTCATTGGTGCGTTTAATAATACAACTTAAATTATATTTATTAATGCGTTACTTTGTCAGTGGCCTAAATGCATAAAATTATATTCAATTTTGTTTCGAAAATTTTCAACCTTCGAAGCGTTCACTTGAAGTATTTATTACTTGTAATTTTAATTATCGCTACACTAACACATGAAATAACGTACCTTCTATACTTTTTATCTCAAAGTGATGTGCTAATAAAAAATCTTTTTGTTTCAGGTAATTAATTTTGCACTGTAATTGCTGAACAAGAAATGTTTAAGGTGAGATCTCGCGTTACTGTAGTTTCAGAATTAATTTAGCACTAGTCACGTCAATTACTTACGGAATTGAACGGGGAGAAATCGGAAAAGTTCGCGACGGTAAAGATTTTAATTTTCTCAGTTGCCTTATTTGTATATTTATGTTATAAGTATAATTATAAATTTTGTTAAATTAAAATAAAAATACCATGGTGTGTGTTGCTACTAGACGTTTTTTTTTTTGTTTTTGCGCAGATGGGTAGGAAATTCATTAATTACAATATATATCAATAAAGAACATCGGTCAAATCCCATAGTAGCTTGGATCTGATAATCAGTGGCTATGTTCTTTGCAAATTTTGTAATTATTGTCCTAACTCGTGCTGAAATAGTCATAATGCTATTGATTGACTATTGTGTCAATTTATACTTTAAGAAAGGGAAATATTTTTTTTTATTTTTGTGGTTGGGAATAGCTTTTTATTTAATAATTTCGAATTTTTGATATAGTGATTGAAGAAAGGCCCTCTGCCGGGGTCTATACGGTTGCCTAGGTTGCATAGAATGCCTACAGGCTTTAAGTCCCGTACAAAATGGGATTATGTAATATCAAAATCGGTCAGATTGATATTTTTTTTAAAGTCACTATTTCTATCTGACTTGTAGCTGTTAAGATAACTTGATGTAAGTATTACGAAATATATAATTATATTTAGTCCCACAAATAAAAAAAATGTGTGCGTGTACTAGTGTACACACGTAAGAAGTGAAACTTCTTTATGGCCTTATTTTTCGAAAAATGATCTACATGCAACTTTCCAGAAATTGGTTAAATAAAGTTAAATTAGATAAAGTTTAAACAAAAGGATTTTATTATCATAGACATGAATACAAATTACTGCCTATGAAACTGTTATGATTACACGGCTCAGTAATCTAAGGCACATGTTCCACCTCCGACGATGAACGATAAGCGAGTAGAAACTAGAAACGAATTGGCAGTCCTGAGTTAAAATGCACGCGCACGGCTTTTGACAGCCAAGCCAGCTTAACCGAGCGAGTATAGCTGAGCGAGAATCGCTGAGCGCGAATCGCTGAGCGAGTATCGCTAAACGAGTATCGCTAAGCGAGTATCGCTGGGCGAGTATCGCTGAGCGAGTACCGCTGAGCGAGTACCGCTGAGCGAGTATCGCTATGCGAGTTTGGCTGAGCGAGTCTTATCTTTAATAACTATTGTCACTCAGCTACAAACGAGTAGAGAGAGTTCTCGCCGGCGACAGTGTGATCATTCAGCTATCAACTATTAATATAAAAAAAGATGGCGCGTAACGGAAAAATGTGACGCGTAACCGAAAAATGTGACGGTAATTTTTTTTCCAACGCCGATAAAGAAGTTTCACTTCAATAATGTGTTTGCAGAAGGGCATGGCAGGGCAGAAGGGTATTTGACAAAACTACAAGGATGCTTATAAATAAAACACATAGATACTGTTAATGATTTATTATTTTTTCACTAGCGGCCGCCCGCGACTTCGTTCGTATTAACATTTTTTTTTTGAGAATCTCATCTGGACCTAACGTTTTCCGGGGTAAAAAGTATCCTAGGTTTCATTCAATCCAGGTCATAAACAATATGCGTACCGTATTTAATTCAAATCCATTTGTTAGTTTCTGCGTGATTGAGTAAAAATTAAAAACACACAAACATACAAACTTTCCCATTTATAATGTTAGTAGGATCCATATCTTTAATTACCATGTACAAAAACCAAGCTAGTTGCGCTACCTGATGGTCGTGATGCCTGGCCTTTTCAAGGTACCACACAATGGCCTAACGTGTGCTTAGTACCCAATTGTTCAAAACAAAACACAAAAGATTAATAAAGATCGCACAGTACTAATCGAAGCAAACGCAAAGATAGACAGCAAAGAAAATCATACATCATCATTCAAAAGGGAAAAATTAAGTAAAAATGTTACCTGTGTTAATTTTATCGTTAATAATTAAACTAGTTTTTAAACTTGTGGATAGGTAGGTATCAGTCAATTCATTGTAACAAATTGAGTACGTATTGTCTATCTGGAGCTTCATAAAGATAGTGACTGCGGTCGACTTATTTTTTATTTATTGTTTTAAGGGATTTTTGGACCAAATTGTCCATACCAGACCCATCGCAACCTGACCATATAATTATTACTATATTTTGATTGACGAGTATATCAAATTAAAACTCGAACGAATAGTGCACTCGGGGCAGTGCAGCCGGGCACACCAACTGGTTCATAGCTCGCATGTCGACGACACGCCGTCGTGGTAACGAAGGTCAGTGCTCCTGCGAATCCACCCGTAGTGCTCTGGTGTTAGAGTGCTCCGGCAGCAGGAGAGAGGCGGCGCAGCGGTGGGGTCCTCGCAGCGGGCCGCGCGCTGCCTCCCTTCAGTCAGTTCAGTCACAGCGGTGCACGCACGCCGCACGCAGTTCTCGCGCGCGCGACGAGAAGGTATGCACGCAGCCGGCCGCTACACACGCACTCGCTTCCGGTGGCTGCTCTCCTTTGTTTCACCACGCGCGCCTTATCGCCTGCTGCATTGTAACCAAACCCAAATAAACATAGGCAGCTGACAGTGAATATTATCATTTATCGACGGCAGCCACCGTAAATGCCAGTGTTAATCGTGAAAGTGACGTTCGTAAAGAAAAGTGCAACGCCAATTGAGATTGGGAATCGAAATGTGTTCAAATAAACGCTCTCGCTGTGTTTTTCCTTTATACCTTCGATAAATAAACATAACTGTGCTTTAATACTTGCATCAATAAACGAGGCTCGAGTTATCTCATGAGATGTATTTATTCAATTATACAGCCTCAACGCATTTCATACATAATAATGCACGTCGACCTTACCGATCAAAATAAAAATAGACTTCGATGTGGACTTAAATTAACAGACTAAAAATTTGATACAGTTTTTATCGAGTCCGTGATTCATATCTCTATAACGCGTGAAAAAGTGGCCCAAAGTTGTTAAGTACATGTTTATGTCGGTGCAGCTGGAGTGGAGACAAGCGAGGATGTGTCGATCGCGAGCCATATGGCAGCAGCTCCACTAGCCATATTGGGATACTACCAAGGCGACACTTGTTGCACTTATACGGCATAATTGCTCCACAAAACACGCTCGAATGACGTCTTATCACTCGACAACTTAATAGATACATCTATCACTGTGTAAGGGTCATAAATATTTAATAAACGTATCGGTGCAGTGCCTGTCGTTATTAGGGGCATACTGCTTGATAGATAACTTAGGGGTATGGTTCGCGAGTTAGTTATGCAAGTTGGTAGCCGAGTGGACGTCGGCCGGGGCGGTTCGTTGACCAGTGCGTTGTCCCGCCGCGCCGCGCCGCCCACCGCGAAGGTCGTCGCGTGCAGTCCGACGGCATATCCGTGCAATACCTTCTTACTTCACACACTTACGCATGTCCAATTTTGAACCAATTACATGTTTATAAACATTAGCGAGTATGCGTTTAGTCAAATACATTTTTATTTCTCAACCTGCAGGTAGAGTCGATATGTGATCAGTGTGCCCAGTGCAAATATAATTTGCTTGTGAACAAATCTGTAGCAAAATCAGTGGAAATTTTGATCTCAAAATGGTGACTTCGAGAATACCGGCTTATTCTCTGAATTCGGAGTTCAACAGGGAGTTCAGAAGTTTCCGCATAACCCGAGCCACGCCGCGGTCGACTTTGTATGCACCTGCAATAGTTCCAATACACGAGTACCCAAGGGTGAGCGTGCACGAACGCCGAGAAGCGCTGAAGGCAGCACTCGCCAAGGCTTGGTCGTCAAAGAGCAGCGAAAAAAAGAAACACGATACGTGGACAGTTCCTAATGAACAGAATAGAGTCGGCATCACAGCCGCAGACTTCACCGCCAAATCGCAGTATAAAAACAGCGTAAACGGCGATGTATCTCGTGTTGCACTCGTTAAACACGAATTTGAAAGTAAGGATAGCGAAAGGACTGATTCTATCGAAAACAGAGTCAATAACGACCAGCCAGCTAGCTTTAGCTACAGCCGCGTCAATGGAAACGGAATCGACATTAAAGAGACCCTCAAAAAGGGCTGTGATAAAGGATTACATAAAAATTTAAGCTATAGCGACTACCTAAACAATGTTCCTAAATGTAAGAATAGTTTCGAAAATAATTTTCTTAAACAGAGTCACGAGGAACGGTACAGTAAACGAAACGGTTACGACGCGACATCCAAACGCGTCGACAACCTAAATAATATCGAATATAGCAGCCAGAATGGCGATGCATATGATTCTTTGAAGTATTCGCGAACAGCGAACGGAACAGAATCAGTTCAGCATAAAAGTTACGGTAAGACGGACACCGTTAAAAGTAAATTGCTTAACACAGATAGTCCGAAGAGCGTGACGTCTTGCAATGCAGAGAAAACTAATGGATACACAGGTGTGGAACGACGTAGTGGCAAGGAGCAGCGGTTGACAAGTGGCCCAAAGGCGGTGGTGGAGCAGCGCCTCGTGGAGCGCCTCGAGGTGAAGGTGGCCGAGCTGCCCGCCCTCTACCTCGGTGTCGACTTTTGGACGCCCAAGTCGCGGGCCTTCCAGAAGAGCATGCGCCAGCACGAATGGAGTGTATCGTATGTACTCTAATGACCAGAAGAATCCAACTAACAACCTATCCAATAATTTAGAGGCTTATGATTTCAAGCGTTTGAGATTTTCTAATTGTTAAGAAATAACCATCTGCTATTTATCTAGTGAAGTATTTCGTCTCGTATCTCCGCACACCGCTAATCCATGTTCTTGTTCATTAAAAAGTCGATGAAAAAGTAATATAGGCAAGCCATATAACTGCCATAAGCGTCAAATATGTTGCTGTTTATTTATAAGTAACGCTGAAGCGCCGTTGTCAGCACTTCACCTTATTTACCAGTCCACTGCCCATTAAACAAACCTGTAAAAGTGTGTAATCTGACCATGACCGTACGATTTATCCGTATGTCCGTTCATTGCCACTTGCCGACTGAAATTAAACAGTATCACAGTGGCACGAGGGTTCGAGGACTAGTTGTGCAAAACCATTGCACAATTCGTTGCCGTGACTCACCATCGTTGCGCTTTATTCCATCCTGGGTGCTGTTGGTTGCTCAACCTCCTTGCTCATTATCGCCATTTCATTTAAATGAAAATGTTGCCATAAAGAAAACCTTATTATTATTTTACCGGCTGCCAGCCTACGTATCGATATAGCATCGTTACATAAGACTGCACTGAATGTTTTAGACCGTGTTGCATCGCGATCAGCTTACATGATTAATTGTCTGTATAAACAATATGTTAACAGTTGACTTAATAATCCAGTATCAAAGTAAACTTGTTTTGTAATATGTATGACCAATGCATTGTAAACACACGTTTGCAAATTCGTGGGCGCTAACTTTGCCACAGCCGAAAGATTCTTGATAGTGTTTGCGGTGAATGTTTCAAGGTCCCGTCCTGGTTTGTATGCTCGCAAAGGATTTGTCAACTTGGTAGGCGTAATGACGTAATGAAAATCTGTTGTATTCGATTGAAATAAGTTAAATATTTCCATCTGACAGACGTGCTACGAAGAAAGTGTATTCGAATCGTTGTGGTATTTGTGGCTTTTCCACTGACTGGGCATCAGCAGCTCTCACTCGTTCTTAACGACGTTGATTTACAAAACTTACACTTTTTTAATGATTGGATATGTCGGCATCTTGTCAGTAATACTTACTAAAATATCTATTTCTTATTCACTTTTTTAATGTCTTAATTAATTTTTACTAGAAACTAACATAAAAAGATTGACTAATGAGGCTTTAAAATTAAAAAAAAAATGGTTGATTTTATCTTTTCATTTAACAGCATTCCACTCTTAATGACTGCGTGACCCAGAACTAGTTTTCATAACCGAATTTGATAATTTCTTAAGTATTTGTTCTTTCTTTTGTTCATCGATCCCCAAAGTTCTCGATCACAGCAGCAGCATGCTGAAAATTTTACACTTTTTCATAGGGATATCTTCGGCTAATCATTGGCAGACAAGTCACGTAGCGCCAACCATACAAATTAAATGTCAAAAGCTGCAATCGTGTATGAACAACTTTCACTTGGATCTCGCCGAGCCACACGTGCTCTACTGGTTTGTAGTCTTCGCGTTGGACAACAACAGTGCCACTGCCTAATTATTCCTTAACCTCACACGTAATTAGATTGCGTAAATGAATGCATAACACCATTTGCATTCGACGTTTACTAAACATTAAGCTAATGCCACTCGTTAACGTGCCAAAATGTGGAAAAATGTCTCCCCAAATATATTTCCTGTTTTCACTTGGGTCCGATTCAATCGTATCGAATCAATCGTCCGAAAATCGTTTATTGTTTATTTAATTGCAAGTGACAGTTTCGCTGTGGAATGTAAAGTATGGACTTGTTGTATTATTAAACAAAGTTACATCTTAATTGTGTACTTGTAAGCTAAATTGAGTGTTGAAAATACACAGTTTTTTTTATTTCTTGTAGTTGATTTTTTAAATATTTTACAGGAATCTTAACATTCAATCAGGATAAACAGTATCCTATTATCTTACCTGGTAATACACTTTTTTGTGCTAATATGCAAATCCCATAAAAACAGTGTTTGCCTGGTTTAGTAATAATAATAAACATACATACTTTCACATTTATAAAATAAGTTTGAATAAGTAATATTTACAGCACATAAAATAAATACCCTATCCAGTTTTAAAGTAGGATAAATATAAATACGTAATAAGTGCGGGTTTTGTAATGTCCGTGTGGTTTCCAGAATGACATTGTATATTTTTGTTGTAAGCCTCATACTTGTTGTTTTCCTTTTTGCGTGTGATTCACTCAAAAGTTCAGTTATTTCTACTAGAAAAAACGTCACTTGGTTTATTATTAGGTTTGTCTATAATACTTCCTTGGTTTGTATCCTACTAAGTACCTACTTCTTTGTTATAAACCGGTAAACACATAATTTGCTCCTATTTAGAAGTCCCCCTATTCTTAAATGTATTAAATAGCAAAGAGACCAAACCAATTTCAACAAAAGAGATAAGAATAATAAATTAATAATATTATGTTGTTGTTATTGTTATAATATTATTAACTTCAAGTAATACTGCTATTATTCTTTTTATTGTTTAAACGGTTTTAAACAATGGTATGTCACCAGCGGTTTGATAGGAAACAATGTAAGCGAGTTAATAATAATTTTATTTGATTATTTCAGCGAAACTTCCAAAACAACTTCTATTTTAAAATTTAGTTACAAATCATACCAAACAGAGTGAATAATCTAGTATGACCATAAAAGTAGTGTAGATCCGTGCTTGTCATTGACCCGTCGAGCGGCGCGGGCGGGTGAGCGATTAGTCTCGCTGCAGCGTTGACACGGTTCGCAGCCACCGCTCATCCGGCGCGGCCTTGCCGTCCTGAGGGCCCACCTCCGGAATGCATTTCGGATGATTTTGAAATGCAATTAGAGCTCTTATCGTGTTTTTCATTTATTGCTTGAAAAGCTTCATTGAAATGGTTGTACTATTAGTTCTGTCTATACGCAGACAGAACTAATAGTACAACCATTTCTCCGATAATGATAAAGAAATGGTTAATTAAGTTGTGGTAGCAAGTTCATGATTTTCCAAAACTTTATCTAGGGATGTTATATAGACAACAAAAAACTGACGTAACGCTGACAAAAAGACCCACCGAACTGGTCAGGATGTGAGACTGCTCACCCGGAAAATAAAAAAGTTTCATAGCCACTATCATCGATTGTTTGTTCCCCTTCATATTATGAACGCTTTCACATTCTCATTGAATTCGACAATTTTGAGTTACATATTTTAGAGTGATCCTATCTGTTACTCATATTCCTACAATACAAAACAAATCTACTATGGAATCATTGACGTTGTTTTTATACGTCAATGTATGGAATGGATTAACTTTTTGTCAATTACGACATGGTGTAGGCGGAATATTGTGTTATTATTAAAAGTTGACCTTCTCCTTATGTAGCTAGACAAAAACCATCTGATGAATTATGTTCGAACCTAGTTTTTGCGAGTGATCCTTGACCGGGCCATAGAGTTCGTGTCACGTCTCGTCGTCGGCTGTTGCTTTCGATTTCGTAATGCGCCAGCAGTATGCACCGGCTGACCGATCGATTATGGTCATTGTGCCTCAGGCGTTCCACTCTCGCCGCGATTTACCCGCCACCCTGCCTTGCTGACCTTAACGATATGACAACTTATTTTTTACTTATTTTATTAAACGAGTTCAATCAAAACAACAAAAAGCACAACGCGAAATCTAAGTCACCTCAATTATGCAAGCGTTGCGTCCGAACCACCGATGCTATCTATCAAAACAATAATAATGTACTGCGATCGAAAGTAAAATTACAAAACGCACAATCAGGAAATACCAGTATATCACCAAACGCGCAACGATGATTCAATCCAATACACGTGTTTGGTGTTTCTAAATATAAAGAACCGTTGTATGAATACCGTTGCCGCCTGAACGTTGACCGCATTATAATTAATGTTTACATTTATCATGTTTTCTTAAAGAGTATTTATGCAGTCGTACCCTCAATCTTCATTATTGGGTTTGCCAACAGGACAAATACAATTATTTTCTCTTACCTTTGAATGCTTTGATTATTTACTCTCTAAATAGAGCGTAGCATTGTAAACACTGCGATAAAAACTGACCAGATTTTATATGCTTGTGTGCGTGACACGCAAAAAAAACCCGCGAGTCTTGTATCCTATACTCGCAAAATGTAGTTTTTTTTGTCTCGGTGCGCATGCGTAAGATACTAGGTTAGGCCACATTCCCCAAAAAAGTGGGTAACCTAAATCAAATCAAAATATTGTTCACACAATTAAAAATCATAGACGTTAAAACATCTGTATAACGAAAAAAGTATACTTGGATATTTAAAAAAAAAAATTGTTACATTTTTTTATCTAGTTTAACTAAAATAACAGCCATGAGAATATAGAAATAAACAACAAAATGGGCCTTTTTTTCATAATATGATGATTAAGGCCTTGAATTTAGTAGTTTAATATTATTAATCTTTGAAATTTGACATATTATACAATACATACCTCTGTGACGCAAAACTTTTGTTTTACAATCTTGATAATGTTTGTATTAAAATGATCTGAACATATAACTGTAGTTTATTATAACCGTTTTGCTGGTTGCCAGAAATCTTCTCCACGACTTCTTGTTATGACGTCCACCCACCGACTTTTCATTATGGGATTGTTTGGTAGTCTGGAAATAGTGGACTTTATAAAAACAAAAAAAACAGCACCCTCCAACGGTTCAAACCTCCCTTTGTTATATCTCAGCAGTTAGACAATAATAAATTCATATGTATTTTGAAATTATATAGCAGTGGAAAACTGCTACGAAACTCTTAGTTTGCCTTGATGTTATAATTTCTAATTTCATGGGTGAAGACTTGTTTTTTTGCAATTGTGTATTACTTTAGTTCTAACAATTAAATATAACTGTGGTACGAACATGGTCGTATAATATAAAGAAAACTGAGTACTAAATGACATTACTGAAAATTTAAATTGTAAAATAATAATCGGTTTAATATTTGGTGTGGATTATGAACCACTTTAAATTGTCATTTAAAATAATAAATGAAATGATAGGTTGGTTTCATTTTCGTATGTATTAATTGATATGAATAGATGAAATAGGTGAGTTTATGAACTTCACAACTTTCACAAAACAGTGTCGATATCAGCATTATAGGTTGAATATTATAATTTTATTTCTTAAAAAAAAGTTATGGTTGTCCTATTAGAACAGAATGAAAGGTCTCTGTTTTATATCTCTCACTCATCCCGTTTCATCGGTATAAGTTCTCAGTCTTATTTATTATTATGTCCATGGATACGAGACTCGTAAACTCCCTTTTAAGTTTTTCAAAAATCAATTATATTTTTTGATATTCTGTCCAGTTTTCGAGATAATTAAATTAATATCGGTATACTTAGAGTCCAGCATTGGGCTCATATTTTTTTCCAACGTCATCTGCGATGCCACGCTCTATCTAGGAGTAAATAATCAAAACTTGAAAGTTAGGTCATGAGATGGATATTTGTACTAATGGTATACATATCGTGGTGACGCATCTTTGCTGCTATGTCAACCTGCAACTAAAAGATTTATTCATTGCATACATTCTAAGGTATTATAAAATACAAAGTTTTTGCTTATCGAAATATATTTCATGTTTAGATTTCATCCTCCTTCATTAGGTTAATAAAATATCCTGGTGGTATTGAATTCTTACCACTAGTTTGCTGTACAAACTAACCAGTAACTAGGTATTATTTTTTCACTATTTCACAATTGTATTGTATATAATTGAAAGACAAACTTTCTCATAGTTTCTACTAATATTGACGAGTGTCGTTATCGCAGGATAACACTAATGACTGGAATGGAAAGTAAATAATGTTCACGATATATACTCAAGAACACGTATATTACGTGTTATTTCCGCTTTCACCTTCGACGACCAGTTATTTGCCGTAGTTATTCGGGCGGATGACAGGAAACGAATAAAATCTTAAAATTTCACAATATACGAGTGTAGATGCTAATGAGATTTATAACTCCCTTTAGCCTAGATATGTAATATGTTGCACGATAAGTAGGGCGCAAACATCTGGTTATACAAAATCAATGAAATCAACTGGTTTCTGATTTCCAAGAGCCTGTTTCCGAAAGAGAGACACGTAACAAACGTCTCTTCGATAGCGTCGATGTCGCGTCGTTGAAAGTGAACGTTCCGGTGTTTGCTAGTCGTTACGTATCGAGAGACGTGAGTTGTTTACAGAATGCTAGCTTCAGGACAGCCTCAAACTTTAATATTAACATAGTGTAGTGCCGATTTAGCTGTAGAAGGAAATTGTACTTTTTTATATTCTAAGATAGTCCGAGACTACATGCAGTCAGAAGTTTTATTATAGCTGTCATCGGGTGAGATTGTCTTGGGCATCTTTTTACATTACTGAAATCTAAACTATACCAAGGTATTCAAACATGAGTGGAAAACGTTCTCAAGTTCAACTTGTAAATCTGCACCACACCAAACAATGCAACGTTGCGGCCGTCATGAGGTGTGTAGAAACGCCCGCGCAAACGCCGACGGCAACACCTTGTCGAGGTGACTCTGTATAGTTGGAGTCTCTAAACATGTGTTATGCTTACATTTCTGGTTAGTTTTTGTCAAAGGAAAATCGAATAATTAGTTGTAGCAAAGTAGCCGTTATTTGACACAAGAATGCTTCAATAAAACATGGTTACTTAGCAACGAAAATAGAGAATGACCTGCGCAGACAACGGAGTTTGATCCGCGGATTTTTTTGTTCGTCATAATAGATCGCTTTCAACTTCAACAAGTACGACACGATGGATTAAAAGTACCGCCTACAAAAAGTCCCCCGAACAACCGAGGACACCAAGAGACTGGACAGGACAGAAGTAAGCGGGTGTCCTCGAAAAAACCTCATGTGACTAGGCACAGAAACACACAGGTTAGTCCGCGTAACGCGCTCGATCCGATTTAAAGGGAGGGACCCAGTATTCTCTTTTAAATATATTTTTTTTAATGAATTTTTTCTTCCGTGGCGTGCGTTTTAAATGTCCGGACAACAATTTTTCGCACACAGTGTGCGTTGAGTTAGTGACAAGTTCTCGGCGGACATTTTTACACGATTCAAGGACTGTCCTACGCGGACTAGTCGCTCGTCTGCGCAGGCTATTACTTATGAATTCTCAGTTTTGGCAGTTCTTTCTATATTTTTTTAAATATGAAATGAAAATTTTGCTCAAGTAGCTCGTACTTAAGCAGAAGTAATTACTTTGACTTGTTTATAAATACGATTATTTCCTTTGCCTATACATAATTACACATACATAATTATTGTAATAAACTTTGGAAAGTTTATGTAATAAATACGTAGAAACTTTTTCCGACCTTATAACATAGAAGTTAACAACAGTTCTGTTACCTTATATAACATCATAAAACAAATTCTACGTATTTATTACATAAACTTTCCAAAGTTTATTACAACAATTATACAGGGTGTTTGGAAGATGAGTGCAAAACTTTAAAGGAAAGCCTACAAAGACCATTTAGAAACATTTGAGCCATACTTGTCATAGACGAAGTCTGACCATTTTATTTTTAATAATTTTTAACGATTTTAAAGAAAAAAACGTAAAAGTACACAGTTAGTTCCAAATATTAGCTAACTGACATAATAAATGAATTCTTTTTGATTTTATTTGATAAAACAAGTGTAAAAGCAAACTAAGAAAAAAAGGTTTAAAACATCTGTATCAGCAAACAATTTTTTTACAGATATTTAAAATTATCGTAAATTTTTAAAATGGAATAAAGCTGTTTATCTTAGGCTTACAAAAAAAACACGGAGGGTGTTTTGTTTTTTCAAGGCTTTTTAAAAAGATGTTCAGTTATTGTACTTTCTTTTGAGGTATCGTTTATGCAAATTGTTCAAAAATTGTTGAAACTAAGACCAGAAATCCTAATTGAGATTTTTAAATTTAAGATGAAATAATTAAAACAAAATTTCAACTGAAATCACTTATTTTTCGTGTTCAAAATGTTCGCCGCGATTTCTAACACACGCAAGGGCCCGTGTTCTTACTTCCATTGTCGTTATTTTCAACATCATCTCCTGTTTCATCGTTTGAAATGGTTACACGAAAAAATCCATTGGTGTAAGGTCGGGTGACCGAGCAGGCCAAGAGATTGGGCCATCTCTGCCGATCCAGCTATCAGACACCCGTCCTGCTGAAAGATGACCTCTCGATCACTTTCCAATATTGGAGCACAGGAATCTTCAACAAGAACTGGCAAATGGTTTTGGAGAATTTCTAAGTAATTGTCGCCGTTCAAATTTTCTGACAGGAAGTGGGGCCCAATCAACGTTCTGCCAATCCACACATTAACGGAAAATTTTCTTTGAAAGGTCATCTGCTTTTTCCAATGCGGATTATTATCTTTATCGGCCCATTAATGCAGGTTATGAAAGATTGTAATGCCCTATCTAGCGAACTTACTTTCATTTGTCCATAGGATTGATTTTAAAAACCCACGCATCTTCAATGTTTCCGTTGAGAAGAATTCGGCAAAATTGAATCCTTCGCTGAGGATCTCCTTCTTCCAGACCTTGCACGCCTGTGCCATGGAACGGATACTTGATATTTTGGTGCATTGTATTCCACACCTTCCAATGTGAAATGTATTCTCATAACACTTTATATTCATAATAGCTTTTTTATTCTCAATTTGGTATGTAGGTCCTATTTTCAATGATTTATAAGCTATCTACATAAATTATTCAAGATTCATTATTGAAGATTCCGGTGCTCCAATATTCGAAACTGATCGAGAGGTCATCTTTCAGCAGGACGGGTGTCCAGCCCTTTGGACTTTAAATGTAAAAGAGCATTTAAACTAATTGCTTACCTGATAGCTGGATCGGCAGATATGGCCCAATATCTTGGCCTGCTTGGTCACCCGACCATACTCCAATGGACTTTTTCGTGTGGAGTCAGACCAAGAAACTAGTTTATACTCATGTGAAGATAAACAGAAAGGAACAATTAAAAGAAAGAATAAATGCAGCATTTCAAACGATGAAACAGGAGATGATGTTGAAAATAACGACAACGGAAGTAAGAAAACGGGCCCTTGCGTGTGTTAGAAATCGCGGCGAACATTTTGAACACGAAAAATAAGTGATTTCAGTTGAAATTTTGTTTTAATTATTTCATCTCAAATTTAAAAAAAATCTTCCTCAATTAGGATTTCTGGTCTTAGTTTCAACAATTTTTGAACAATTTGCATAAACGATACCTCAAAAGAAAGTACAATAACTGAACATGTTTTTAAAAAGCTTTGAACAAACAAAACACCCTCCGTGTTTTTTTTGTAAGCCTAAGATAAACAGCTTTATTCCATTTTAAAAATTTACGATAATTTTAAATATCTGTAAAAAAATTGTTTGCTGATACAGATGTTTTAAACCTTTTTTTCTTAGTTTGCTTTTACACTTGTTTTATCAAATAAAATCAAAAAGAATTCATTTATTATGTCCGTTAGCCAATATTTGGAACTAACTGTGTACTTTTAGGTTTTTTTCTTTAAATCGTTAAAAATTATTAAAAATAAAATGGTCAGACTTCGTCTATGACAAGTATGGCTTATATGTTTTTAAATGGTCTCTGTTAGCTTTCCTTTAAAGCTTTGCACTCATCTTCCAAACACCCTGTATACGTGTATAAGCTAAGAAAATAAGAATGTTTAAGAGTGTATGCATACATTCTTTTGGTCCTAAATGTATGTAGTCCGAGTTTGCGCAAAACCAGCAGGTGAACATAACCTTTGGGAGCCAAAAAACACCGGGCCAAGTGCGAGTCAGGCTTCGCTCTATCAGGGTTTCGTTCGGTTTCTGACTTATGAAATAGACAGTTCATTTCCGAGCTAGACGTCGCGTCGCAAGAAACCGCGAAATAATAAATCATTTAATAAAACTAGTTTTTACTGGTCTTTACAGGCTACGTCGTCAGAATACGAAACGTCAATAAATAAATAAAGTTTCGTGCATTAACCCGTAAAAACTAGTTATATTTAATGAGTGATGTGCGTGAAAACCTAAGAAACAAATATAATAAATCATTTGTTTGTTTTCGTCACAACTTACAAAGTACATTGAATCAGCCTTTTCAGTATTTGTTGTTTAAATACAGCATATGGGATATCATATACCAAAATTTCACATTCTTAACCAGTTTCGATTTTTGGGGGTCACCCCATACCAAAAATGGCAACTGTGACGGCCCTCTATTTCCTTATTATTATAATAAAAAAGATTTTTATATTCTACTTAAAATACCAAAATTTCAGTTCTGGAACTCATTCCGTTTACGATCTAGAGATCCGTGGCATATGGAATGAGTGACAGTAATAGGGTTCCGTTATTACCCTTTGGGTTCAGAATCGCTAGCGAAATTTTTGCTCGTATTTCACTTGTATCAGGAAAACAGTACGTCTGACAAAAAAAATAATAATATTAAATTGCATTAAATTTTGCGTCAAAAGAGTATCAAAAACTTCAAATTCGATTCAATGGTACAACCGAAATCGAATGTTAAAAACCGAAAGATTATTTCTCATTTAATTGCAACACATATATTTTAGGATAAATAATACAACATTTTGGATTCCAGGTTTTTAAATCCTACTAATATTATAAATGTGAAAGTTTGTATGTTTGTACATTTGTTACTCAATCACACAAAATCTACTGAATATAATAAAAATAAATAACTAGGATACTTTTCATCCCGAAAAAATGTTAGGTTCTTGAGGGATTCTCAAAAAACTAGATAACGCCGACGAAGTCGCGGTCGGCCGCCAGTTATGATAAAAAACTCTCTTCATTTAACATGTTATATATTATTAAATAATACTTAAAATTACTTGAAGATTTCTAACACCTCTACATACTAATTACAACTTAAATAACATGCATCATTCATTTTATTATCTGTAAGTTAGTGACCTATTACTATTAGTAATCGTAAAGAGAGCCTAAATTTAAAAGTCATAACCTGACAGGCGTTACGGGCATTTGAGGCTCAGCCCTATTTGACTAACTTCTAACTTCAACTCTTGTCACGATGTTACGCCTTTTATTTTTGCTAAGTGAAAGATTTTTTACCACCTTAAAGTACAATAGAAGTTTGTAAATATCTCTATTACATTTTTTTTATAGATATTAAAGTTTAGTTGTGGTCAAAGTTAGTAAATATATTTCAAGTGCCATGATGCAAGTCCACCTATCGTGATAGAATTTGAAGAAAGAAGGAGCAGATTATATTCTTGGTTAAGTCCATGACAAGTTTAATGTATCTTCTGAAAAGAATTTTGCAGTGATGTTATACAGAAATAATATTTTTGACTGATAGTGATATCGTTGTCAATGTAAATTTATCGTTCAAATCTATCAATCTTACACTCTAATCTCGCCACCGTGTGCAATTATTATTTTAAATATGTTACGGTATATCATTCATGTTTCGAAAGATTGCTTAATAAATTTAGTTAAATCGTAATCACGGGGTAAAAATATTTTTTTTAAGCGATTTGCTACTTTTTCTATAAATATGCCGCAGTGACAAAGTAAGCCAATTAGGCATGCGGAACGTAATTCTATTAGTTAAACTGCATTTTCTTCAGTGTAGTAAGAATTCTTGATGGCCGCTGCCATCCTTTTTGTTATGTTTGGTGATTAGATTTGTGGTGCAACATTATGATTGGTCTGTCTATGAAAGACAGAAGTGAGAGTTATGCTAGCCTAAGTGAAAATTTCACATTCACTGTACAAAGTTTGCGAATTTGTTAGTAAGTGGATTCTATTCGGTGTTCCGAAAAATGAAACGTGATTTCATGATATAAGCAATGTTTGCCTCTACGATTTAATTGATTTTATTTGAACGAGTCACGTAGCGTAATTTGTACTACGTGTACAATGATGGCGTTTCGACGCTTGTTAAAATCATTGTTGATTGTAAGTACGTCAGTTAGTTGAGCCAATGCGCAAGCGGTGACCCAGAGCAAGCAGTGCGCCCGTGGCAGCAGCTCGCGCCGGTCTCTGCTGCTGCGCATCAATCGACAGCAACAGATGTTTATTATCGTTATTGGTCTCGCATTCAGCGCCCTGTCCTACTGTACGGTTCGCGCACTTGTTTTTTATTGTTGCACAATAGCGTGCCATTTTGTTGTTGCTATGTTAAAAATATTTTTTAGTATGACTGACAAAATTAATAACTGATAGTTGTTTTGTAAGTCTAAACAAAATAAAATTTTACCGTCTTTAATCAATCTGGATATTTTATATTAATTAAGACATCATATCGTAATTGTGAGATTGGACACACACAGGGCATCGACGCTGGTCCGCCGTGAGGGCGGTCCTTAACCTATGCTGTCTGCAATCGAATGACAGTTTCGCGCAACTCTTAGATCCTCATTTCGGCCGCGAAGAACGGTCACTGACGTTAGTAATATCTCTCATTCGCTATGATCTCATATGCTCTGATCTCATCTAAACACGTCTTGTAAGTTGCTTTCTCGTTGTCCTAAACACTAACCCTACAGTCTGCCGATCGATGATTTCACAGCTCGGAGCACTCGTGGAGGCGAAGAAATGAACGTTCCAAACGATCTCATCACAGGCGTTCACCTACATCTCACAGACGGAGAAGGCACCATCGTGATGAGTCTCCACAGCGTTCACCTCCAGAACAGGTGAGATCCTTTATTCCTTTCTATTTGTTACCAATAATGAATGTGAATGGGATGGAATGACATGCAAACAAATCCAACGTCCACTACCACTATGTGTACACCCGAAAACCTGTTAGGAAAGTAGGAGATGTAGTTGTTAATTCAGTTCAAGATCTTAAGTACATGTTGTAGGCGAAGTGCGGAACCAGAATAAAGCGTAAACGTCAGCGTGCCTGTTTGGGATAATATGCGGGACGGGTTTGGCTAGCGAGTGCGCGTGCGCCTTCGCCCGTGAAGATGTGCGCGAGAGACGGCGACCTCCTCGCGCTTGCGCCCGTTCTATTTGTGTTCGCCTTCGTCACTCGGAACGCCTTCAGTCAGTCGCAAAGTTCGGCCGGCCGCCCGGCGCGTCTTTGCCGCACAGAAATACTAGCCCGCCCCGCCGGACCGCGGGCGGGCAGCGCGCGAACTATGGCTGCCCAGCCACCGCGACCACCTCCCAACAATCTTCTGTTCTGTGGACCACCACCTGACTTACCGCGTGTTGTGCTTTTTCCTAGTGACGCTAACCGTGATACATGTAACCTCGATGCTTCTTCGGATACCGTGTTAAGCCAAACAAACGATGCTGATGCTTTAAACGAAATAAACAACGTGGGTATACCTACATACGAGAATCAAGAAGAGCTGATTGAGTTTCGAAATGATATCACAGAAAACCGATTGCAGCAAGAAAATTATTTACGCAGAACTCATAGTATTGACATATCCGATTTGTCTGGATCATCGACGAATATCGACTTAAATAGTTGTCGACTAGCAAGATCTGAACCTGACTTATCAAAGTACGGATTATTTCTTGAAGCTGAAGTCACTGTCGAACCATTTGGACCTCAACAACCGGCTCCGCTTGTACTTAACAATCCATTTTATGATGGTTCTTATGCATTAAATCCCACTCAATTGAATAATGGTATAGTAGTATTGCCTGAAAACTACCTAGCTTTTGAAGACTCTTTTGTGCCTACGTTTGATTACAAACCTGATCTTCTAGTCGATAATTTTAACCCTGACCTTTACTATGATGGTCTACCTATTGTCCCACCAAATGATCCCTGGTCAGTTTATGGAGCTGACAATTCTGTTTACAATTATTATTCGCCGCAATATGAAACACCAATGGTCGATCAGGATGCTATACAGTATATGCCTTTGACTGATTTACAATATGCGATTCCTCAATATATGAGTTTACCAGTGGTAGAGCAAGCAAAATTAGAAACGTTCATAGATAACAACAGTAACAAATTTGAAAACAACAATAGACACAATTTTGAAAATGCAAGTGCAGTGACTTCAAATGTAACGCAGGAAACCGCGGATTCTGTGGTTCTTAGTAATGACGATGAAAAAGTGATTGGAGTTGAACATTCTAACAGAGAATCGTCAACACAAAGTGAGGAATCATTAAATGGGGATATTTCTAACGATATAACGTCTAGTTTAGCTTTTGTTCCAAGTAGTAAATATTCACCACAAAGGCTTCAAGGAATCGCTGCAGATGATACTAGTAATGATACTTCTCCATGTTCCACTGATTATCACGAAGCATCCGCTTTAGATATAGTGCAAAGCCACGATGAGTTATCATGTTGTGATAGTGATTATTCACAAAGTAGAGATGACACTTCGCCGGCGCCGCCTGATTTGTCAAAAGTGCTTCCGACAGTGCCTTGTGAAGTAACTAAAGGACAAAGTGAAATTAGTGGATCTCAATTAGCCCCTTCTAATACACCATTGGGCAATCTACCTCTTAGCAAATTACCATCCATTCCACTTCATGATACATTGCCAACAAAACTACCTCCAGTGCCGAGTGAATTAGTTCTTGCGGAAAACACGAAAACTGATCAATCTAAAGTGACCCCTGTCAATTCTACGGAAAATGTACCTGAACCCAACAAGTGCAGCCAAATTAAAACAAATCAAACATTAGATCTCCTTAAATATGATGAGTCCAATGTAAAAGTGAACACCGATTCAACGCTAATACGACAACCACCGCAACCCCCTGCTGTGCCACCTTCTTGGTTACCCAAGAAACCTCCGTGTGATGTTACACGAAACTCCACTCAATCTGCCCCGCAAATCAACGTACAGAATGTTGAAGGCCAGACGATTACAACTGACAGGAGTCCTAAATCCACTCACAAACCTGTTGTTGCAAACCAAAAACAAGAGGAACCTCAACCCTCATGTTCATATGCAGCACCTCGACTGCCAGCACCTGTATCTCAGCTTAAGCCAGATAAACAGCCAAAGGATGTGGAGGTCAGCTGAATATTGTTTTGGTATAGCTTTTAATTTTGTTAACTATAGTGGGAATCAAAATATGGTTCTACATTGATTTAATGTATGCGTTGTTTTAAAAGTAACTGCGCAATGCGCTGCCAACGTGTATATTGAGAGCAATGCGCATCTATTTTAGATATACTATTAGGTCAAGGATTTAATTCATCGTCACTATTAAACAATATTAAAATCTTCATCATTTCCAGGAAATTGTTTGTAAGTTTATTATAACCTACACAAACCCAGTGAGACTCCATTTAATGTATAAATATCTTAGATTCCATTTCAGATGTGTCATTATCTTCATAATAGTTACAAATTTTCCTATGTTTTAGCTAGAGGCATTTGTGTCTTGATTTGATTCGATACTTCAATTTCATTAACATTATCATATTTTACACGGTCCCATGTCAGTAAATAACAAGCTTATGACAGACGAAAATAATTTTAGCATTGAGTATAAGCCATGCGATTCTCCTGACTGCTACTAGATGGCCCCACGTGTCGTCTGTTGATAATGTAGACGACGCATGTGCACAGAAATAGTGCCCTGACGATTACCTTCACCTAGCGAAAACGACAGCAGCTAATATCGATTGCAGTGGACTTTAATAGAATTACACAAAGTATTTTTTATTTGAACTTTTTGCAATACTTCAATCTGTTTGACTAATCCGTCATTATTGCCATTTCACATTATCTTATTTAAACTTATAAAATTACCTTTTACTAACTGAATGAGACAATAACCAAAACTCACTTCGGTAAACTATTTCCCCTTTATTATTTTACTAGTTCATTATTTATCCATCGCTTCATGATTTATTTGCTGTAATTTAAAAAGTGCTTTAAAGGATTATTAATTTAAAATAATTAGAAAAGGGTGTAATCATTGATTACAAAAAAATATCAGTAAAATATTTACCAAGTGTGCCTTGAAAACAAATATAAACAAGGAAGAAATAATAATAAAATACGATAGCTCCTAGTAGTAGGGGAGCCCAAGCGGAGATATTTGTATTTACTCGAGCGCGGCAGATTAACGTACGGGGGGCAACCTTGCACCTTGTGAAGTACTCCCACCGTACCTGAGCCCTCTATGTAGTGCTTAACGTCTGGGGCAGCAGAAAAAAAATGTTCCAACAAATGGTCAAGACCTTTGGTCGCGTCCAAATCGTCTGTTTTTTTAATAGAAGCTGTTGGAGGGAGGTGCCCTCTCGTGTCAATATACCACGCTCGAGTAAATCCAAAATTCCCCGCTTGGGCTCCCCTAACATAGGAAGAGGACAATAATCTGCTCAGAGTCCATTTTGACATTTGGAACTAGTGATGTAACCATACGACTCGGTACACGATACGATAAATCGATTCAAGCTTGCATTAGTATTTGGTTGCTTTGATCTATATCTAAATGCAGTGATCGCATTACTTTATAATTTTTACACCATAATTTCGAAAAAAGCAAATGCTAAGGCGAGTTATGTAGTGAATAAGGACACTATAATTTCAAAGAATATAGAATAATTTTATTTACTTACTGACAAGATTTTTTTTACAATTGAGCAATGTTTTAACAAGCTAAGTGAACAAGTTTAGGCTCAAAGCTCTATAGAAGCTACCCAATTAGTCGGCAGAGTACAGCTTGGATATAATCCGACTCCAACTGAGTCATATTTTTTTGGAAAAGGTGTCAAAACATTGGCACAAGTGTATCAAGATAGGAGTCTTATAAGGATGATTATTAACCCTTTTAACAACAATATGTTCCATAACCAAGAATGGCCCTTTCAGCAAGACTCAACACCGGATCATTAAGCTCGGTCCACCAAAGCGTGATTGGAAAGGAACGTTTCGGACTTCATCAGAGCTGAAGAGTGGCCTAGGCCCGATCTTAATGGAGAGAGTGCGTGTTTCTATGATAACTGGCCTCAATGTTTATAGGACTGTGGAGATCGTTTGAATGAGCTTCATATATTAATGAGCTTCATTAGTTAATGTTATTATATTTAATATATAACCAACACAACAATAATAAATGATTTATGTAGTAGAAAGTACTGTCGAATTTTTATGTTTTATGTAAATATAGATCACATCTCCATATCAAGTACAGACCATAATTCAAATCAGCCATAAATGGCTAATCTGATTGTTACATTATATAATAAAAAGCAATTTCTTGTAGAAACCTTGTATAAAATTTTCCTAATCGCTTCATTTCATGTTTAGTCGCTCGTCTATAGAGTTGATCATGAAGCGTGCTACTCAATTGTTTTGAATTGCGGTTCCAAATCTATATAAATTGAAACTCGTTAGAGGCAGCTTGGTTCGGATTTCATCGTGAATCAGACCCACTGTGTGTGAGGCTTGGTTATTATCGCGATATTTGAGTTCCTTGTCCCAGGATCGTCGGCTCGTATCATAATTTATGTATATATAGATCATCATTGCTATATCTATAGCATTTTAAGTATTGAATTTTAAAGAAAAAAATAATAAATACTCTGATTCATAATCTTGTGTTGTGATTAGCAACAAATAACAAACTGCCTATTATCATGTCATTAGTCACGTAACAGCAGGCGATTAAACGTTTGCCTTAACATGAGGCGTGTAAGGTCAAGAGCGCGTTAGAAATGTGGTATCGTTACATTAATAGTGTAGTGAGATACGGGGCTGATAAATGTGGTACGCCCGGCGTTGCCCACCTATCTATTTGGTAATGCCCAGTTCCTTCCGGCCGACCTTGCCGACGCCGCCGTTGCCGCACATAGCCTAACCCAATACTATGTAATTTGGCCTGAAACCATGTTTAACTGCTGCATGCCTGTTTATGCTGTTGATTCTTCATTTTTGAAATGATTGAAATAATCAAATCAACTTTCCGTGAAATAAATAGGTAGCAAAAATATAAATAAAAGAAAAAGTTGTGCACCAAGATTAGTTTGGTTAGTTTTGGATGTTATAAAAAGTAGCTTTTGGAAAGTATTTAAACTTATTCATAAGTGAATTACAATACAATACGATTTTAATTAATTGACTAAATATAATGCTATTAATCGAAAGAAAGCGTCATAAATACCATTTCAGTAATTTCATTAAAATTTTATATGAAGGAATGCAAAGCTGTTATTTATTTTTCGCAAGTTTGATTTAAACAAATTCAAGCTATTTATCGATTTTCTTGATTCTTTTCTTAAATTACTTAATGAAGTAGCACATAATAATCGCATTGGCGATTGTGTTTGAATTGTATGTTTAAATGATTTGGTGAAATGATGATAACTAAGGATGCGTCAGAATATGATATAAGTCGGCGGCGGTTGATCACTTGCCATCAGATGAAACTCGTACTGTTTAGCTATTAAATTTTTTCTAGAAAATTAGATTACTCTAAACATGAACTAAGTTGTTTATAAAAATGATTAACTAATTATAAAAAATAGCACTGTAATTTTGGTAAAATATCCAAGGAAATTATAAATAAATAAATAAAAATAATTACTGCACTTTGCTGGTATGCTAAGTTGACGCTTTTTTCCAAGAAATACATTACTAGTACAAATATTAAAACAATGAACAGTGAGTTACTTTGACGCGGATCAATCCTGTTTCAACCGAAAGCTCTAATTAATATTGTGGGACATTTTTAATTGAAATGCTACAGCGAGTCAGTGTAGGCTGAGACGTCGAGTAGTGCGAATCAAACGCTTAGTATTTCGTCGTTGATAACTTTAGTTTATATTTTGTATAGTTTTATTTGGATTTAAATCCATTCTAAGAAGAGCCGTGCTTGGTGTATCGCACGCCACATAACAAACAGTAGTAAGCCGGCCGGCGTTGGGCCTACCCGCCCCATGCGCTCGCCTCGGGTCGCGCTGTTTTCCCATCTAAGTGATATTAGTTAAAGTGCTAGGTAATCATGTCTGAGATTTCCATAAAACATGATCGTGTTAAAGTGCCCTTGCGCCTAGCATCCTTTTATGAACTGTACAAGCGATTTCTCAAGGAGCACAAGTGCAAGTGGCACGATGTTGCGAAAGTGCTCACCGCTGTTGCAGAGATACTTTTCGATGTAGATGGTGCGTGCGATCGTCTTATTGGCAAGGTCAGTTATTTAAACGAGATGATGATTATGCAAATTAAGAAACAGGTAATTTGATCAAATGTCTTAACCGAAATTTTAACTTGTTTCTGTGGACAGGGTCTTTACCGGTCCTACAATTTCATAATACTCCCTTACCTAAAACACCCTTGGATGGGGACCAATAGCATTGAAGCAATTTTTACCTGCTTCCTTTTATATTGTCATTTGCAAACATAAACGGTAGCCATTTGCACTCACAAACAGCTGTTTGCAATGCAATCTAGCATTTCTCCAATTATTGTTATCTTAAATCAAATCTGTTTCGATGGGTGTATTGTATCAGTGTTAATATTTTTAATTGGTATTTTTGTAATAGCTTCTCGTAGTATTAAAAATAATCTATGGTTGAATGTGCTCGAAAAATTTGCTAATTACAATTATCCACTGTTTGACGACAATGTGTTACAGTGGGTACGTAACCCTTAGTGAATTCAGCTGTGATAATATAACATGATTTAATTACATGCATTCTGTTTATAGCAGCATTAATAAATTAAGTGTTAAATAGTTTAGTAATAATATGGTAATACTAGTTATCCAGTCTCGTCGTGTTCAACATGGTTTACAAAAAATGTCCAATAAAAGGAGAAAATTCTCAGCTGTATGGTCACAAGACATACACAAGGTATGTGAGGTCGGGGCGATATGTGTTGCATAGAATGTTGGCTATTTTCGTAGTGCTTCCGTTGCACCAATACTAACGTAAATGGTGAACGTCGAAGTTAGCAACGAGTTTCTTGCAACCTCGTAATGAATGACAAATAGTAAGAGGTATTCATTCCTTAATCTTTCGTTATATATAAACAAGCTTCTGACAATAAAAAAACAGGGACCATTTAGAATATGATAAGCGTGAGACACGTACATCGTTCGTGTCAGTGGACGTTTTATCGGACCCGCCCGCATCCGCTTGCTCGCGTCCCGACAACTTCATTTCGAAGCATTGCATATCAAAAGAGAGATAACACACGTATTAAGATCTCATTCAAGCTCAATTCACGTGAGATAGATATACAGTTGACCTATGCAATAACGAAATGTTTATTTTTTGGATGTGTTGTGTGTATATAGCGTGCTGGCCGCGTGCGCAGGCGGGCGGCATTGTTCAGAACCGCACACGTGCCCCACTAACCTAATTACTTAGCTTATTGACAGAACTGTCTTGGCTCTCGAACGCTCTCTTCAGCGAAAGGTGTATGTTTCACGAATTCTAAAAACCACTCAAATAATAATTGGTAATACATATCATAATCTTTTGATATTGACAAAAATATTGGTCTTTCCCAAGATCGTCCAGTCGCTCTGTTTTTGCCAAATTTTTATTACGGTTTACAGTAGGCGATGATGAATTTCTAAATGAGTATCTGTTTATTAAATTTGACATGCCTTCGGCAAAACACAGATCAGCCATTCCATACCTATAACACTTTAATGCTTGAGATACTACTTAGGGAATAAGTAAATCTTAGCATGGAAGATTTTTTTAACATCCAAATATGAAGTATTTTTTTATTTTGTATCTAGAAAGTAGAAAGAAAATTGGGATTCAATATAAAAAAGTAATGCGAAGAAATGCGCGCGAGACGCACACCGGCAGTGCGCGGGAGGGCGCTCCCACGGGTTGCTGATATTTTTAGTCCACGACCATTACTTGGCACCGGCGGCCGCACTCGGGTGCGCCAGTGATCTTTCTGAAATTCGTTCGCACTTAGGTACGCTCAATCTCGAATAGATCCAGTCTAATGCCCGGTGCCGGAGTATTCGCCGCTTCGGTGGAAAGCATGTGCATATTGTTTGATGTGAAATTATGACGTTTTACGAATACTTCACAATTTGTCCCGGGTAACGCGAGTGTAAATAGAAGTTGATATTGTAATTATGACAGCGTTGAGTGCGAGCGGAAATGGAACGACGAGCCCCAGGCGTCACCGCTACAGCCGGTCCTCGACCACAAGTGTGACTCAGCTTTTGTCAGACGGATACTCCAGCATCATCAACCGGTTGACTCGACGAGGGCCTTCTGAAAAGTCAGATATATCCGATGCTAAGTTAAGTGCTGCACGAACTCGTTATGATGACAAATTGCTCAATAGCAAAAATCCAACTCTTGCAAATGTACGACGTTATGAAAATACTAGGCATATTTCGCCGTATTCATCGTTGATTACAAGCCCATCTTCGAGGAAATTCAACGATGACCGCACATACTCCGGTTACCTGAGCTCAACAAAATCACGTCATGAAATATCACCTTTGCGTTCGAACTCAGGAATTAGCGCACTCGGACGCAGTGACTCATTCCGCAGAGCTAATATGAAAGATAAATCATCACCTCTTACCAAAAGATATCCACTAAAAGAAACCAATAATAACATCGATAGCTCAGTTCTTCTAGGAAGCACCCGTACTAGACTAGAAGATAAGTATTCATCGGTTCTTGACAGGATAGCTATTCAAAAGAAAGAAAAAGCCAGAAAAGATAAGGTAGACCGAGAGAAAACTTTAGAACCTGAACTATCCATACCGAGAGGGGGTTTGATGAGAAGTTTAACGACTGCCGTGTTTGGTGAAAGTTCATTCAAGCAAAACAATTACTCACGTGAGAAAACTAGAGATAAGACACCATACAGGAATACAACTGATAGGCGGTTGAAAGATAAAGAAGAAAATAAGAATGGTTACCATATACCACTGAAAGACCGCCCTCACTATGGTAAAGATAGGGATAGTATTTATAGAAAGCATCATCGAAGATCCCATAGGCCAGAAAAAAGTGAAACTAGTGACCGAAATGGAAAATTATCTTTGCGTCCAATTGACATCGATATACAATCGGGAAATCGTGATTTGGTGTCACCATTAGATTCAAAGAAAACCAAAATAAACAATATTATAAAAACACCAGCATCTTCACCACCAAAAGAAGTGGGTAGGCAAAGGCAAATATATTTTCCAACCGACGACGAAGATGACGACAAGACTCCGGTAGGAGATAGAATTCTAAGCGAAAGGGAAACGAGACGTAAGGAGATACAGAGCCTTATAATGAAGTATGCCCACCTTGACGAGGTGTACGGCCGCATCGGGGATAAGGAGGTCAAGAATGCGTTGGCAGCTGATGGTGTCATCACTAAGAAACCGGAGCCTATAGGAGTCGGCGATGTGGTGGCACTGCCGCCAGAGCTGCGCAGCCGCCACCGGCCGCAGCGGCCCAGGCACCTGATGCGGCGAGCGGTGACGCCGCCCGTAAGCACACGCTAACCGCCTGTCGCCTGCGCTCTGTGTGCCGCTAACATATACCTGGTCCGTTGTTTTCAATATACACTATGCCCACTTTAAATACTATGGTCTGATCGACAAACCAGCCATCACTCAATAATTAAATAAATTATTGCAACAAATTCATTTACATACAGAATTTTGTAGTGTCAAATAGTACATCGATAACGTAACTTGCACTGCGACCAGCGTAATACGCATTGTAAATATTATTGTAGCTTGTAACGGAATGCATGTAACTGCGTCATGTCAGTGTCAACTTTCAATGAATGAATGTGGGTAGACAAAGAATTTACAAGTGACGGTTAATAAGATCGAATATAAATCAGTAAATAACAGTGATCGCTCTCACGCCGCGTCTCGTTTAAGTAATAATTAAAATATGAAAATGCCAATAGCAATCATAGTGCATGTGATAACATTTTTCGTGCGTGTATTTCGAACTAACATGTCCCTGTTTTGTGTTAATATATTTTCCAAGTCCAAACGAAAGAAACATCGCAACGGGTTATTGCCTATAAATGTTAGTGTAAAGAAAGACTAGTGCTAGTGTAATGTTAGCCAATCTGTTAGCGGTTTCGGGTGGACACTGTTCCTAAAGATCCCATATGTGAGGTATGATTTTGAAAGAATTTGTGCGAGTGCCCTGTGTCGAAACCTTTTCCTAGCGTGTCCGAGATCCCGCCCCGGTTCTTTCCGCCCACTCCCGCCGCGGTACACCAGGCTCGGCGGGCGCCCGAGCTCGCGGTGACTCGGGCGGCCGCCCGGCGTCGTCCCGCAGCGCCCACCCGTCCGCCCTTTAACAGCATGTACGACACTCCATACAATTGTCGCTTGTCTGACGGGCAACCGTTCCATTGTTTGATTGTTGGGTACAACACTACTCGGGTCGTGGCGAACGCGTGGCGCTCTCCGTGGCTTGTGGCATCCGGTGTGGCGTCGCGGTGCGTGGTGCGCGGTGCATGGCGATGTCTGCGGCGCGGCGTTGCGGTGCGGTGCGGCACGGCTCGGCGGCGGCGGCGGCGGTGGCGTCTGCAGACCTCCCGCGCACGCTCCTCCGTCAAGGACGACAGAGACGGACACCTCGTCTACTGGCCCGGCTATGTCATGGGAGCGAGATGTTCGTGTCCACACCATAACTTAAAACAATACCATACCTACACATTTATCACACACACACACACACACAGACACACACATTCTCACACGTACTGCTATCACTGCTTGAACATATAAAAGTCCGCATAACATTGACACTTCAACAGCAGACACAATCAAATATAAAAGCAAAATTCAAGAAAACCGAACTCAAAGACCTAAGAGTCATTTCAATTTGCAGTTCAGTGATTCGCGTTTGTAAGAAGATAAAGAGACTACATCTTATATTTATTTTTTTTAATTTTCAAGATCTCACTTCATTATTCAACGATCAAATGTGTTCGAAGCGCGAAGAGTCATGTTGGAACCGCGGGCTTAGGTCCTGACCTTGTCAACAAGTAATCATTGCTATTGTAATCAATGGAGTTACTATGAGATATGGCTCATGATCGATGCCGAATTCCATCATGACTTTGTTTCTATACATCTGACTAATCAAACTTGGTTTTATTACAGACAAAATCATCGACACGCTCGGTGAAGGCACCTTCGGCAAAGTGGTGGAGGTGAAAGATTTAGAAATGTGAGTACATGCTACACTTTTATTACTAATTTCTATCTCGTTTTATTTGCATTTATTAATCAGGTCTTATTTGCATTTCACTCGAATAAAGACATGTTTATCAAAGTCTTATCAAAATAAATTAATAAATGTTAATGCGATTACAAAATGATTATACACGAACAAGTGGGGCTTACCTACATCGTAAGGCTTTGAATCCCCTTTGAATTCTGTTTCTGCATGATGATTCCAATCATAACGTAATAATGTTGTTTACGTTACATAGGATCTTTTGCATTTTCTTAGTCAGGGGATAAATGGTTAGTTTTCTGTTTAGAATATTTTAGATAATATTGACGTATTACCACCAGCGCTGGTAAGACGTCAATTTAACTACAGGTTACCGTAATGGAAACTATGAAATCTAAGCATTCTCAAAATATATTCATCAAATAGAATAGAACAATGCTTAAAATGTGTCTGTGCATAGACGTAGACATGTCTGTAGAGGGCCGATGCTCAATGGCGTAGGAGTTAAGGGCAAGTAAAGCACCAGTGTAATAAAGCCTCGATGACGCGGGGCGAGTTTACAAGCTGTTAGCAAACTCGCTGGATTGTAGCTTGTAAACTCGCCCCGTGTCATCAAGGCTTTATAGAAGGGGAGCCCAAGAGTAGATAAATCCTCCACTAGCTTCTATTCAAAAGATTGATTATTTAATCGCGACCAAAAGTCATAAATGATTTTTGTGTTTATTTCACAAAATGCAACTATGCCCCCCTTATGTTAGTCGCCGCGCTCGAGTAAATCCCAAAATCCCCGCTTAGGCTCCCCTCCTATGGTGGTCACTCATCGTCAGCGAGCCGTAAGACCATTTGGAATCCTTGTATTAAGATATTATCGTAATGCTAGAACTTGACATGGCTATTCATATCTGCTATTTGTAAACTTGATCGCAGTATATCCTTACCATGCTCTATAAGGAAATGGAGGGACTATTGTCAAATTACCAAATAGAAAATACGAATAGCCATGTGAAGCGCCAGCATAAGAAACAAAGTTTACACATAGAATGTTAGTATCACTTAGTATCATAAGATTCTTTGCTCTCATGACTATACTCTACAATGGTTACTTTTTTAAATTGAAAATGCATTCTTGTGTCTATTGGTAATAAACAAAGTAATTAGTGACCTCAATGCTATCTGGTGTCGTTCACATCTTACCGGATGACACACACCTTGTAGTTGGCACTTCACACTACTCACTTGAATTTATTAAAAATCTATTTTAGGTCTGTTTACACTGACGCCGTTACTTTCTATACTTATTACTATCAAATGCCGAATTTCGTCTGCGCAGACAATATTATAACGTGTTATTTATAATTCCAGGGAGCACAGAATGGCTCTGAAGATAATCAAGAATGTTGAGAAGTACAGAGAGGCTGCAAAACTAGAGATTAACGTATTAGAGAAGTTGGCAGAAGTGGACCCTGATTGTAAACAGTAAGTTGAATATCTATCTTTTTATAAAAATCTATTTCCACATGTATGATGGAGCATCACTGGAGAACGACTTGATCATAATATGGCTGGTTGAACGAACCTTTTGGAAAGCCCACCAGAAATAGACATGGTATTTTTATATTGACATCTCAACAATTTGCGTGGCTAGTACTTGTCGCGAACTGGCTAGTAACTCATTAATATTTCCACCGTTTAGTGTTTGAGGGTAGCACTTGTTGATATTGCAGATCGGCCGCATAGGATGGTTTCCAGTGTAACAATATTTGACCTTGCGGGTTATGCGCGACGTTATAGCTGACGCTGGCACTCGGCCAATGAACATCTCGGTGTCAACTGGAAACGTAAAAATACCACTCGCAGACTTGTCCCTAATCTTCTGAATAGCATAATGAAATGGAACGCCCTTGATACTGACATGACACCGTGATGCCCTTGATTCTTTAGCAAAAATACATACATAAATGTTTTCACGACATGTGTCGCGGTGTTGGTGGTATATCAAAGGAGAAAGGTCCCGTTAGATAGATGAATGTTAGTGTAAACATAAACTAACTTATAGCCAACCCGAGTGAAAGGTTATAACCCATTCTCCTTATGTGATTCTTTTTATAGTCCGTTTCTAAACCTGCACTACAGTAGTAGGTTAATTAATAGGTTAACGATGATGAAAACAGTTATTCCCGTAGCCTCATCTGATTCGGGTAGAGCATTATTTCTGTTTAAGTTGTATTAAGGAGAATGTGACGAAGTTAGCCAGCCTGTTGGCTACAATAATTTTTATAAAGTTTCCAATTGACAAGTTGTTCATTTTCAAGAAAAACTATGATGCTGACTTGTCCTACGTTTTATCTTTCTTTCGTTGCTGGCAAAGCAAATATTGTCAATCTTGATTATGATCTTTATTAATTGTGGACTGTTTCTTTTCAGCTTGTGTGTAAAAATGTTGGACTGGTTTGAATATCACGGCCACATGTGCATTGCGTTTGAAATGCTCGGACAAAGTGTATTTGACTTCTTGGTGAGTATTCTCGTTTTATATATTAATCGGAAAAAAACAATGTCACAGCAAAAAATACCCTAGAAAGTTGAGAGTTACCGTGTACAACACTTAGTTCATATTTATCTCATATTCTGCAATAAATCTGGCTGGCGGCGAACGATAACCTTTGTGTGACACCAGTTATGTTGTAACATCTTATTATGGTCACTGTGCCGTTATGTTTACTTATGGTCAACTTTTATCTTATTACTCATTCGAAATGGACAAAGGAAAATATTTTTCTTTAATCGAATCTTACCAAATGTCCCTTTATGTGCTAATAATTTAATGTTTTAAACCATGTTGTGACAGATGAATATTGATAAGAAATTATAATACTCATACAGAATCCCAGTGACTGCTCATTTACATCCAAATTCTAATGTTTAAAGTATTTTGTTTTCAATTGTGGACTTGTTTCTTGGTCACATTATGACATAGCTTTATTTTTAAAGTGTACACCCAGCAAAATTCTTGAGCACGAACCATAGACAAGGAAGCTTGCGCAGTAGCAATTTAACATACAAAAATGTCAACTGCGTAAGTTTATTTGTCTGTGGTTTTGCTCAAGAAGATTACCAATCCCTATACTTTAATTGAACGAATTTTGCTCTTGTTTTATGCTACGTCTACACTGCTCTGAAATATTATTACCTGCTTCGAATTGGTACATATAACCAACAGGTCAATATATCCAAAACTAAAATTTTCCAACTGACTTTAAGCTTTATATGCTTGATCCTACAAATTTTACAGTATGCCGTACCTTGTGTGTAGCTGAAACTGTTCATGTTGTCATGGCCACAATACTTATGTATGATGTGCACATAACATAATTAATGACTTTTATTTTAAAGAAAATTTGCACCAAATGGCCGCTTTCTAGTAAAATTTTCTTTAGATTTACATAATCAACTCAGTTTAGTTTTTAAAATAAAAATATAATAACTTTTCTTCTTGTCTCGTAGGAAAACAACAACTACCAGCCTTACCCGTTAGAACAAGTAAGGCACATCGCCTACCAGCTGATATACAGCGTTCTGTTCCTGCATGACAACAAACTCACTCACACGGACCTGAAGCCCGAGAACATACTGTTTGTGGACAGTGACTATGAGGTGCTCAACGTGTACAGCAGTTCCAAAAAAGTAAGCCTTTTTTAATGAAAAATATACTTATCAAAAATCATCAATTCTGTTCATGCAATACAACAAACTCATCTACACGGACCCCAAGCCGGGAATATTCTGTTTGTGGACAGCGACTATGATGTGCTCAATGTTTCAAATGAAAACAATTTGATTTGAAAGAACAATAATTACGTACAGCAGCAGAAGACGATTAACTTCTTCCATTTTAAGGTAATAATAGGTCAAAATGAAAGAAATGTTATTTGATGCCGAGACCAATGGATAACGGTTGAGGAGATTACTCAAGAAATTATTAAATTACGTATTAAAAGTCACAAACAACATCATATTATAGCAATTACTGTTAAGCACATACAAAATATGTATGAAAATGGTAACAGGAAATAACTCAATCGATGCTTTAATTATATGTTTCGACAGTGGGAAAGCAAAATCACTTATACGCCACGTTGGTCGAAAATGAGTCATATATATCATTTTCAGCAGTTTTTTTTGCGTCGTTCTGTTTATGTTTCGTGAAGATTTGAGTTTTTTTTTGGCGCGTAAGCAACTAAATTTTTTGAAGATTATTCGATAGTTCACAATTATTCTGAAGCGGCATAAATTTTGGTGTTTTAGGAACCATTGGCGCTTACGCTCTACTATTTGGCGTATGATTTGATGTTTGCTTGACAAAAAATATATGGCGGGCCGGGTGATCGTCGCTTAATCGACATCTTATTAGTAAATTAAAGGAGGAACTTTTAAATAGGAAGATATTTAGAAAATATTATTTTATGAATATGTTTTAATTTTTATGGCGCTTCTTCTTATTTATGAGTATTTTGTGAAACAAAAAAACTTTAAAAGTCATTTCTGTAAAGTTACTAAAGTGAGTAAGTAAGCGATTTTGCTTTTCCACTATCGATTTGTTTTCAATACGCAATTTTCCGCATAACCTATCACACCCAAGAAATGTTATATATAATAATTTAATTGTTTCCTATCGTCTGTTATCATTTCTTAGTAAAATTACCAGGAAATTTCCTCTTAAATTCCAAACTGATATGTCGACCAACCAAGTTCTCATTATGCATAATACAAATAACCTTTAGTGCTATGCTCAAATGGGTAACATGATTGGTTTGATTAAATTATTGAACTACCATCTTTTGTACAATGATGGTTGTTGATTAAAATTTCTAACTTTAATAGTCAGAATTTAGAATTTAATTGAATTAAACGTGAAATCTTTTGTTTCCAGACACACGATCTCTTACGCGTAAAACGCAGCGACGTTAGACTGATAGACTTCGGCAGCGCCACCTTTGACCACGAATACCACAGTACGATAGTCTCCACACGCCACTACAGAGCACCGGAAGTCATATTAGGTAAATATATTCTTTGAAAGCAATAGTAAAAGTTCATTTTGTACCTGGTGAAGTATTCTTCGTAAGGCAAGTGTTATGAACTCATGATGCCAGGCAAGTTATGTTGTTAGAGCAAGACAAACCCACAGTAGAATAAGATTTAACTGCACTCCAATCCTAAAAAAATACTTAATTAAAAAGGTAGCTACTCAAAAATTTATGCTCATATATATTTTTTATTATTAGTATTTAAATATTTTGATAAAGGGACATGTAAAAGTTCATAATATGGCCTCTGAATAAGCAAAATAACAGTATTCGGGAACATTTGCAACCTGATTTGTACTTTGTATTACCTGCGTCAATACACAAATAAGGACATAGGACACATTCTCGCACGTCATTCATGACAAGATGTGCAAGAGTTACAGAATGTTTTGCGTCTTTTTTTTTATTGGCGCGACTTATAAAATAGCCCACTAAAAAAGTACCCTGCGCGAAAGACCAGACCACCAGAACTTTATGTTTTCGGGGTCGCCGAGTCAAAGTTTAGGTAGTCTGGTCTTTCGCGCAGGGTACTTTTTTTTGTGGGCCTCTGTTATCAATCTCCCCATGCCAGCACTTCTCTTGGCTAGAATAGCCAAGAGAAGCAATAAAATAGCAATATTTGCTATTTGTAATCTTGACAACAGTGTCCTTGTCATGCTTTATAAGGAATGAGAAGGACAGAATGATTTCATGTTTACACATAATAAACACGAATAACCAAGTGTGGTGCCGCCATCACAGTTGTGGATTAAGAATATGGCTGCCTAGGTGAGGGTTATTTATTGGTGCTGTACTACCATTGCAGTAGTTGATGTTTATAAATATTTCAGTAGAGTCAGTTCGAACTTGATGCTATTGAAATACATAAATATGTATAATCAATCTTGTATCAAAGCAAAAACGTATAAGTACCTTATAATTTCTATTTTTTAAGCATGTAACTGCTGATGTTCGATATCTTGGTTCTCAGATTTAGATATTAATTAAGACGTCATTAAATAACCAATATCCAGTTACTTGTAAACAGATTGCTCGTCATACGGCAATTTGTTTTCTTTGTTGTTGTTTGTAGACAATAATAAGAATAGAAGATATAAAAAGGAAACATGCTTTTCTTTTAATAATATATTGGTATTGGATTAATACCATAATTTGGTTACAACTTTTAATCAGAATTACTCAATAATAATTTAAAGGATGGGACCTAATTTGTGTAACTTTTGTTCTGTGATCCCTTCTTAATCTAATAAATTAAAATGAAATAAATTCTATATTTGGGATTGAGACATTAAATAAATCGCTCAAGAGTGTATATGAGGCCTTTATATGTTCCGTTTCAAACAAGAAATTGACCATACGCTACGGCTACTCGTTTCGTGTGAGCGGCAATCTTCGAAATCGTCACCACCGATGGTTCGATTTGTTTCCTTTTGTTTTCTTTTCGACTTTATTCTACTATCTGCCTAAAAGAAACAACAATTTTTTGTAAACATAAATTTATTAATAATGTATTTTTTCTTTATTTATAGAACTCGGATGGGCGCAGCCTTGCGACGTATGGTCGATAGGCTGCATAATGTTCGAGCTGCACCTCGGCATCACGCTGTTCCAAACGCACGACAACCGCGAGCACCTCGCCATGATGGAGCGCATCCTTGGCCCCGTGCCCTACCGGTGACTCTTACATTCATACATATCGTACTGACCAGCAACTTGCGACGTCGATAGACTGCATAATGTTCGAGCTGCACCTCGGCATCACACTGTTCCAGACGCACGACAACCGCGAGCACCTCGCTATGATGGAGCGCATCCTTGGCCGCGTGCCCTACCTACCGGTGACTCTTACATTCATAGACAATTATAATACATCACAGCAATTTGCGACGTATGCTCGATAGACTGCATAATGTTCGAGCTGCACCTTGGCATCACGCTGTTCCAAACGCACGACAACCGCGAGAACCTCGCTATGATGGAGCGCATCCTCGGCCCCGTGCCCTACTGGTAACTCTGAAATTCTTACATATTATGCGCCCCATAATGTCCAATGTCCGTGGACAAGACCTTTATAATTTATGAATGAATACAAACAAATGTCGTAATGGTAATTATAAATTTTCAGAATGGCGAGAAAAACAAGGACAAAGTACTTCTACCACGGCAAATTAGATTGGGACGAAAAATCGTCAGCAGGCAGATATGTTAGGGAAAAATGTAAACCACTATTGGTAAGCTGTATTTTAATTATAAAATTAAATGTTATGGGTACAAATCCTGGTAGGGTAAATAATTGCAAGCATTTTGCAAGTCATGTCTGTTTATAAAATATATTTTTATAAAATCATATAATGTCTACTAGCTGACCCAGCGAACTTCGTACCGCCATAAAAAAATAGGGGTTGGTGGTAGAAAGTTGAAAATTTAGGGATATATGTATTTTTGTATGATGTATCATAAAAAAATAAAAAGCAATATATATATCTAAAATTGAAAAAAAAATTAGGGGTGGATTACCCTTAACATTTAGGGGGATAAAAAATAGATTACATCCGATTCTCAGACCTACTAAATATGCATATAAAATTTCACGAAAATCGGTCGAGCCGTTTCGGAGGAGTTTAACCACAAACACCACAATACGAGAATTTTATATATTAGATGTATCAGTATATTAATATATATTTCTATCCCTTACCCTTGAATTCCATAACACAAGCCCCACTTATTTTGAGGCTTGGATAATTGGTGTGGATATTAGTAATATTTATTTATATAATGATATATTACCGTAAATTTATATTTATTTTTTAAGTGACATAACCGTACCCGTTAATATTGTAAATATCTAAATCTGAGAACCAAGATTCGATGTAACGTAAACCGCGTTATACCGACACTTTACATGTCTACTTGTCATTATGACAGCAGGTTGTTCTTTTCATACTCTATAGGGGGGGAGTGAAAAGGAGAGACTGTTGTCAAGTTTACGAGTATCAAATACGAATAGCCATATGAAGTGACAGTATTATACAGAAAAATATGCTTTTTATGAGTTCGCAATACGGCCCTAGGTTTTACTAAGGTTTTAAGGTTGTTGTTTGCCGTCTTAGTATTCACACGAGCGCCGCTTTTATTTATCAAGTTAACTATGGTCAATGTCCTATTCGGTTGCTCGTTTGCCTTATTTACTACCTTTTTCATCCGAACAACGTTTTTAATTGCCGTAATAAATTGTAGTGTTTGTTATATTGACGTATAAAAACGAGTATACTAACAATCGCGCTCAAAATTACTCACATTCGTCTATTGTGCGTAATTTTCAAAAAGTCGTGTTTGAAAATTCTCTTTCCTATAGAATTGACCTTGTCAGTTGGTCATAATTTGTGAGTCACAAAATTTCACATTTCAAAGTAAATTATTTGCTTTATCACTACTCTTTATTTTAGTAGTATTATAATGAAATATTAGCTTATATAATGTATTATAAATGGTTCAAAGTTTGAGAATAGATACAGTTTTAGGTCTTTTAAGAGTCATTTTATTTTAATTATGATTTTATATGCATATTCGCGGCTGCCCGCGACTTCGTACGCGTGGAGTTAGTTAGAAATAAAGGTTCACTGCTCGTTTCCCGTAGATGATAGCGTGACAATATGTACTATAGGTACCCGAGGTTGACCCGACTTCTTAATAATATTCTTGCCAAATTTGAAGTAAATCCATGCAGTACTTTTTGCATTTATCCCGGACATACATACAGAAAAACAGACAAAAATTCTAAAAACTATATTTTTGCTTCGGTATCGATTGCAGATCTCACACCTCAAGTATTCTTTTAAAAAAATATTCAATGTACACTTTTGACTTTCCTACCATTTTATTATATATATAGATGATTTTATGCGTATAAAATTCAAGTTATTGAAAAACCTTAGTATACCTTTTGTTTCGGAGGAAGTTGAATAAAGGTGATTGGAAGTCTACTTGTTCTTATCCGTCAATGGTTTGTTATAACAGAGGTATATGCAGAGCACTAGCGAGGAGCACCGCCAGTTATTCGACCTGATCTCCCGCATGCTGGAGTACGAGCCATCGCAGCGCATCACGCTCCGTGACGCGTTGCACCACCCCTTCTTCACTAAACTGCCGGCTCATCAGCGACTCGGTAAATATTCCGCGCTAAAGACTATTCCATAGGTACTCTAGATAAACGTCGACCGCCTTATTACAATAAGAGGTCATCCATAAAATACATCATACTGATTACGTGTTTTTTTGGCACAGTTGGTTACTTGTGAGTCCCCTTCTCCCCACTGTGACGTCACATATTTTGCTATTTTGACTTTAAAAATTATTAATAATACAGCAGATCCGAAATAAGATCCGAAAAATAGGCAAAAAAGACAACTGAAACCCCATACAGATAGAGATCTACATATTTTAAATATTTTTGATAATAGTCGGTGGATCATGCGTCACGAAACTTAAGGACCTCCCCGCATCCCCTGTCACACTTCGTCGACCCACTCCCCTTAACGTGTGACGTATTTTATGAATGGCCTCTAAACAGACTTTTAAACTAGGGACGTCTTTTTTATGTAACTTTTTCTTTCACGCCTTCCGCACTTTGATTATATTACATACCTAGATAGAGCAATTCAACTGAACTACGCTCATAAACGCGCAATGTGTGCGTACCTCTCATGTCAGATTGCTTGAAAGCAGATAATGTGTGCGTGTAGCAACGAGCATATGTTCCATATTTAGTAGATATTTTTGGGGCTAAGCTTCCGCAATACCTAATTATAATTTTTGGAAAAAATAAAAAAAAATTTAAAGTTTGAAAAAAGATGAGTTTACAGACACATCGACAGTTTTCTGTAGCCTAGTAGAAGACCGAGAAATAATTTGAAATTAGACATAATACTAACTATACCCTAAAATGACGCTGGTACTTTTGTTTGCTATAGTGGAAACTGACAATGTTAGGTTACCTAGTTCATTTTTTAATCCATGTTATGTAATAAGGCGGTTTAGTAAACCAACTATACTTAACCACCAAACTGAACATTTTAGAAGCAAGGTATAAAGTTCACGGCGGCGTGGTTAGGAAAGCTAGTTATGTTATTTATATTTGCCAATAAACTAACCAACCCACTGGACACCACACACTAACTATGACAAAGTTTGAAACACTGACAGGAGCCAAGAATTTGGTGTACAAGCATCTAGATGAGTAAGCAATATATGTTTTTGTTCAGTATCTGCAACATACACAAAATTCTTGTATACTCTTGTGATATTCAAAATAGAATTTTGTGCTATATTTAACGTGTCTTGCTAAGAATGTTTAATTATGTATTGATTATTTTCATTATACAAATTTATAATTACAATGTTGATGTTACCCTGATGAATAGACATACATCTCATATAAACGAGATGTGTCGTGTGTCCATTAGTCAATATGTGATGTGAAATGTTTTGTTATAGGACCCCAGTTTACAAGGCCGTCGTTCCTTAGGTCAGGCCTACTCGATCGCTGTTAGATTGCTTTACAAAGGCTTCTATAATTTTTACACACAACTACATAATGCGATATGGTTTTTAATTCTTTTTAGTGTTGTCAGTGTGCCGTTGTTTATTTTTATGCTTATTTCGTTCTACTTTTCGTTGTAAATAACATTCGTTAGTGTTTTATTTTATGTAATTTTTCTGCGATGCAAAGCGAAACTCTGACGATTTAAAATTACGCTCGTATCTTAAAATTTTCTCATCTGCCTTTTTTCAATAAATAGTTATTTTACTTTAGGTAGATTTTTTTAAATATCTAAGCATATGCAGTGGTATGCAAATGTTATCCAATAATATGGTGGGGTAGCTACTTTACGTAGCTATCTATATTTATAAACATGTTCTACGAGTTAACTTGCTTTGCCCACCCCTAATCTCAACTAAGCTTATTACGGCCAACAGCCATAGGTTTTTTTTATAAACTCTGCCGTGAGGAGTTTGTAAATAAGACAGTAACAACAAAAAATTTGCATGATTATCGCAAACACTGGACTCACAGGAATGTGAATCGAAATAGTAACATCATTAATATTCACACAAGCAGGATATGCTCGCATCGGTTTTTTTTTATCTCGTCTGCCTTCTATCACAAATTGTTAAAAACTGTATCTTACTAAACCTGAATGTCCATGACAACGCACGTTATACCATCTATTTTTCTTTAATGGAATACAGACTTACCTATATGTACTTAAGTTGTAGCTGCAAAAGCTTGTGATTACACTTATTTTTAGTATTCTATTCGCTATAGTTGGTGCGTCAAGAACGCCTAACTTTAATATTGAGTATAAAAACATGGTCCCAAATATAATGAATATAAGACTGAAATTCTATCAACGCGGAATGGAAGGGAAGGGAATTTTTGCAACGAAACTTTGCCTAACAAAAATCAATGAACTTTGTTTAACATACAAACTAAATACGACGGAATTTTTGACAGTGGCTGATGACTTCCCGGAAGACGCGTGATCTTTTTTTTTTAGATCGTATTTAGTTTGTATGTTAAACAATTGACATAAAGTTCAATATGTTATGCACAAATTCGTTGCATAAATTCGCTTCCATTCCATTCTGCGGCGATATAAATTGAGCCGAAGCCTGTAGTTGTACGTCACTCAACTTACTATCTAAACATAGTAGTCAGTATCCCATTAATATCGAAGCTACAGAGTACAATAGATGGACTACCTTTATCTTTCTAAGAAGCTTTTAGAAAAATAGTACAGTTAATAATAATAACTTTATTTTGAACAAGTGTGATTAATGTACATAAAATTATGGAATGTTAATTCTGCTATAAATTAATCAAAACAGTGTTGCAGAATCAACGCCCATTTCCGTTTAATATGAATACAGTGTTCCTATTTGTATAAATAAAACAAACTGTATTTACTGGCAAATTAAAATGAGATAAAATATTCACAATGTACAATCCAATGAAGGTATTTTTTAAACACAAAAAAGTATTTCTGAGTGCATTTTTCTCAATATCATAACAAAACAATACTATATTATACCATAAATTGAAAATAAGGACTAGTTTAACTAATAGCGTCTAATTTTCAGGCAATGACCGCACGAAGTGCAACGGTGAGAGCTCAGGGTCGCGCGAGCGATCGCACTCGCTGAGCAGGTGAGCCGCGCGGGCCCATAGCGGAAACGGGCCCAACGCGGACCCCTGGAGGAAACTTGTACAGTTCTAATGAAGTGATAAGTGATAAATATATTGTCGAACATTGTAATCTAGCTAATATTTTGTTGTGAATCGGTACTTCTCAATGTGTATTTATAAAATAAAATTATCCGAAATAAAGACTGTCGTCGGTCTGAAATGTTACTTTTTGTTTGATTTTCTTTTTGCTTCATTAAAATGTCTTAAACTAAGATCGCAGTATAAATAAAGATTGATTTGTTGATTTTTTCACCAACTTATTATTGAATAGAAAATTCTATAAGTACTTTACGTTTTCATTTTTCGTGCAGACATAAAAAACTTTTACTGCCTTATTACAAAATGTTCACTTAAGTTAAACCTGGTCTGATACTGTCACTTTTGTTAGCTAAAAAGAAAACAGACGCCGTTAGAGTTAAACCAAGATTTAATTTAGTCTTCGTATTGGAATAAGGCGGTTTAAGTCTACTAGTAGGTATATAGATACTTTTAGAAGTCCCACAATAAAACTGAATTAAAAAAGCTGTTCGCTAAAAAGTTATTTCTATTTTATATGTATGTTTAATTAACATTACGAACTTTTCATTAGAATCTATAGTGTATCATATCTATTAATGCCCCCACCACTGTTGGGAAGGTCCTACAGATTTGATATGGAGATTGGGCCATGACTCACGACGCGGACCTAATGCTGACTGGTGGGTTCTACTAACGACTGGAGATGCAGTCGGGACCAACGGCTTAATCTCTATGGAGAGAATGAACCGAACTTCAATTTAAAGGCCAAAAGGTCTTGTTTAGGGATTTCGAAATAATTACTTACCATCTAAACTGGTAAAGCTAAATACTGCACCTTCCATCTACTGCTGGATCCAGTGCGAAATGAACCGTCCACTATCACAAAACTCATTATACAAACTAAGGGAATTAACCATAGATAAATTAACCACTCCACGCTAAGAATTCACGGCGCGATTTTCTCCCGCGCCAGCCGTGGCTGCGCGACAGCAACTCGCGTAAAATATCTAATTGTAGGTAAAGTGCATAAGCAAAACTAACGGCGCAATGAGAGCTTCCGTTTTTGCCACACTAGATGCTGGATACCATCTAGCCACCACTGTTGAGTTAGGTCCTGAAGTTTAGTTTTTAAAGTTTGTTAATACACACGTGAAATCAAAGTTTACATATAAATCATATTCGTTCACACAATCGGCCGTGCCACAGTGTTAGGCAGTTTCGTTATGTTTGAAAAAAAGGACAAAATAAATTTTAAAAAATAACTGACATTCATTGACACGTAACTCATATTTACAATATAATTTTAACCATAATTATTCTGAGTTATTACCAATAATTTTGATTGGAAATAAACCCGCGTAGTCGACCCACAAACAATAACATTAGACATTTCGGAGACCTCACAGTACACAAGCGGCGGATTCATAAGAGATAGCCCTCATTCGGCACCCACTGTGGGAACACGCGGTAGGTACCGTAAGTGAGGGTTACTTTAGCTCGGGCGAGTAACTTTGTCCCAAATCAGAAAAAATATATATTGAACTTGCCGCCCCATCAGTATCTCTTAGGTGACCGTAATAGTTTCAGTTGAAAATCACAGATAGCCATATAGGCGCGCAGTGTTGTGTTGTTTTACCGACATCGTTCCTGTATCAACCTGTCATTTTGTAACGCGGGATTTTTTGTAACTGAAATAGTTCGCAAGTTCATGCGCAAACTTTCTCAAAACTGTGGTTTTCGGTAAGTTTTCAATTTTTTCTTTAACATAATTATTTTTGGGTAAAATCATCCATTTGTGTATACAATACAATATGTTAAAAGGGTTACTTAACCCCAATATGGCTTAAAATGAGTTTTTTTTTTTCACAGAGAAAACACAACGAGCTAAAGTAACCCTCTTTAAGGCCAACTTTGGCCCAAAATTAAAAAAATATTTATAAACACTTAAATATTAATTTTTCCTATTTTCGTATGATAACTTTGTAACTTATACTTTAAAGTTCACAATGGAAAGATATAAACGTGACATATTCATCACAAAGAGAAGCTACAATTTTATTTGAAAAAAAAGTGCACATTTTAGGACAAAGTAACCCGCAGTTACTCGGTATAAGAATAGAGTAGGGGAGATATAGACTACTACAAGTGGAAGTGTCCCTCTGATAGAAAGAGAAAGAAGATGAGAGACCGCTAGCTTTCTCTCTCTAATCGCGCATGCGCATTGGCAACTAGGCTTGTTGAAAATGTATCGATATATCGATATTTTTTGTTCGATATATCGATATATTTTGATTCGATATATCGATTCATCGATACAAAATAACCAATATAGAAATTCGTATCAAAAACGTCATTTTTTTAATTATTAGCGGCATTTCACGATCTAACTAAATTCGTATCTGAAGAAATCGAAACTGGATCTCAGATTAATGATATTCAACATATCTATGTTCTGTGCTGTATTTAGTATTGTCTATGAATTGTAAATCTGTTTCCCTGGTGAATTGGATGTGTTGAATTCCATTATATTCTGTGGAAGTGTGTGACTGTTTAGTCTTGTTTACAAAAGATGGCACCTGAGAGGCCCTGCAATCATTTTCATCATTCGAAAATAGGGTCAATTTTTAGGGAAATAATTTTCGTTCCATTATTATTCCGCGTGTCATCTTTCGTGATATCTCACGAAAGATGACTCGCGGAATAATATCCAGTACTGTCATGTAGTGTAGCGGCAATTCGGTATTTTGATAATTCTTTCTTTAATTATAATTTGTATTGTATTATTACTGTGCAAGGCTGACCAAAATATATTTTTGGGAAAATTGGTCCGATATATCGATGTTTTTCTCGCGATATATCGAAGCCGATATTGATATTTTTTTTAAAATATCGATATTTTTTTCAACTTTCGACATCCCTATAGGTATCCGTAAGCATCTTACTTTTTCGATGTGATGCTTGGACCAACTATTGGACAGACGACTGCCCATGCGTCACAAGAGAGAGATATAGCTAGCGGTCTTTCATCTTCTTTCTCTTTCTACTAGATGGACACTTTTGGAGCCGCCTTCCCCACTCTATTCTTATACCTCCATGGTAGGTACGCGATCACCCGCAGACGCGGCGGGTCTGGCCCGCGCGCTCTGTGATTGTTATTAGAGTGACCAAAAGGCGCGTTCTGAATTCAAAGAGAAAACTGTGGTCTCGTTAGTTTTGAAATAAAACAGCGTTTCCGCTGCCAAGGCGGGCGCGCCGTGAGTTCTTCTGTCTATCCCACTTGACCCGTTGGCAACTGATATAAATATATTTTATAAATAATGCCCTACTTGTCCTAAGGGACAACTGATACCGATATATTTACGGACAAACAGAAGTGAGCCTGACCTGATCATAGATGACTAGCAAAATCCTTGGTCCATGGCTATATAATTTAATTGTTTCACAAAGCAAAACTTAATTTATCTAAAGGAAATAATGGTCAGTGCATCCACCCGGGTACCGAAGGGTGCGGGTTCGTGTCCCGTCTGCTGCCTGGTCCATCTGGAATTGTTTCTAAGGAATGGTTGACTAGAATAAAATATGCAAATTTTCTTATCAGTTAAAAGCTAAAATAATAAAAGGCATATTCTCAGTTTCCATAAATATATTTTAACATTAAAAAAATAAAAATACCACATTAAAATTCGTATAAACTTAATAAAAAGGTTATATTTTAAATTTGCAATAACCTAATGCGTACCTTACAAGAAGTCAAAAGTAATAAGTGTGTAGTGGAATGAACTATTTTTTTGTGGATATTATTAAATGCTTTCTATGAAACCAAATTAAAATAAATTGTACAAAATGTACGCAATTACAAAAATTGGAATGAGAAGTTTTAGAACATTCACTATACTACCTAGAAATAAATAAGATTTTTGAACAGAACAGGTACCTAGTATGATAAATGAAATAAATAGATTGAAATAGTTATCACTTCGACCTATCTAAATGATTACATACAATTATAAATAATTATTTATATGTCAGGTATCATGGCAGGATAATTTAAATGATGATAAAGACCCTACTTGTATTGCTTAAAAATTTACATTGTAAGGTACTTTAAAATGTAGGATCGGCTCGTAAAAAATACCAATGCACTAACAATTTTATACATCGCAAATCATTTCTGCTAAACTGACCTTCAATGGTCAATCCATACGAGCGCAGAGTAAAATAACAAATTCACTATTATTTTCGTAATTTCTTCTGAGCTGATAATCAGCGTACTTAGCACGCTTCTTTGCATAATATTATTTTTATTTTAGACACAAAAATCCGTTTACCTCTATATCTTAGAAGGAATATATGCATTGCGTTACGGAGATAATATGCATTTGCTTTACGTTCTTGAAATTCACTTCGATGCGCTTCGACTCAGTGCTAGTATAAATTGACCATTAAAGACGACTTAGGCCTTTTTCATAGTCGGCCATTAGATAATTAGATAGATACAGGTCAATCCAGTTTCAGTCACATAATAACACTCATCTTTAGTTTTGCTTTGAAGGGATGGCGAAATTATCACGTCTTTTTTGATTTGTGAGGAGTTTGCATTTTTTTTTAAATATTTTCTATACCGCATGGATGTTCTATCTATTTCTGAACTGTACACTCTTCATAGTCTACTTGCATCTTAAAGAACAAGGTTAGTGTACCTGCTTACCATGTTCTTTTGCTGCTTAAAAAAATCTTAATTTTGAACTTGCAGCTTTTAATTTACCCAAAACAAAAAAAAAAACTCACACTGTCTTTGATCTTTATATTGCTTGATATAACAATATATAAAAATAATAGTTTGTTGAAAAAAAATGTGGATGTATGCAAGTACAGTATCTGGTCTGTCTTACTGGAGTTTTATTACTAAGTGGCCGTTAGCAATTTAAAAGAATTCAGCCAAACTTTAGTGAGCGTAGTTCAGAATCACAATTACTCCTTTAATAAACAGCTTTATATTTATTTGATCATTATTTATTGTGATGCGAGTCAGATCAGTTAAGGTTAGGCTATATCATATCCACCACGGGTCCGTCGTGAGGCCACGAGTAGACGGGCGGCACGGCCGGCGAGTAATCAACGTCGTACATTTGAGCGCGGATGAACTTTTCCGTGTCTATTGGCTGCGGGAACACTGATGCTTTGCCTGTCGAGGAACAACATTATTATTAAATCTAAAGAAAATATTACTAGAAAATATTCCACGCCGACCAGGCAGCAGATGGGACTCGAACCCGCACCCTTCGCTATCCAGGCGAATGCACTGACCAATTATGCTACCGCGGCCCTATTTAATAATTAATTAGCGTGGATTTTTTTCTACTAATATTTTCTTTAGATTTAATCATCGAGTTCCATGCTTAAAAAAATTAAATTGTAACATATATTATTAAATATTGTTTCCTTGGTATCCACCACAGAGGAGCACGAGATAGTAAATTTTTGCTCATTTTTTCATCCAATGACCGACCATTGCGAAAGTTGCTTAACTTTAACGATCCCAGTAATTGAACGCGCTAACCACTTGCGCCATGAGACTGCATTAATAAGTTTTTGTTTGAAATCGAATTCACCAATGAATACGTCAGTGTGACGTCATGGTAGAATGACATTTTGTGAAACGATGCAACGGCGTTGGCCGACGTTTGGGGGCGTGTCACACGCTTATGTAGTATTGCTACATAAGCTTGGCATGAACCCTTGTATTTGATCTATAGTGGTGGTGCTCTGTTATATGAGAGGTAGGGCATAGCGGATTTTCCGCTCGAATTATAAATAAATAAATATTTCCAACACTCACACCAATTAACCTAGTCCCAAAGTAAGCACTGTAGGCTTGTGTTAGATAGAATACATATACTATACATATTATATAAGTATATTTATTTAGAAATACATATTAAACATCCATGACTGGAATACAAATGCTCGTATTCATCACACAAACATCTGCCCCCACCGGGATTTGAACCCGGGATCTCTCGAGTCGGCGACACCATGAAACCCGGCGTACAAACCACTCGGCCACGGAGGTCGTCAGAATTGGAGCGCCTGTCTGGGGAGGTAACCTCTACCTTACAGAAGATCACAGTAAAATAACACTACCTTTTGGTGGTGTGGTGTTTCTGTCAGTGAGTAAGGTTCTAGGGCTCCACGGGGTAGGGGATGGGATCAGGGTAGGTAGGCAATGGCGAGAGTGATATTATTAGTATCGCAAGCGTCTGTAGACTATGGTGCCGCTTACCATCAGGCGGGCCATATGCTAGTTTGTCACCTTTTTGTGTCGCCGCACTCGGGCCACACGCCACAGCCACAAACGCCGCCACGAGAAGCTAGAAGCGGCGGAAGCGCGCGACAGCGGCCGACTAAGGTATGGGAGATAGGGGTGGGGAATCGCGCGAGTGACGTGTGGCGTCGTTTTGTATCGGCGCATTAAGTGGCCGGTGCGGGCCACAAGAAGCGAGCAACGACGATTTGTAGCGTGTGGCGGCCACCGGCATACCGTGTGTGGCGAGTCCATATAAAATGTATGAAAACTACAAGAAATATGCCGCTGGCGGCGTTTTGTGGTTGTGGTCGGTGGCCCGTGTGCGGTGACACTTCAATATAAACAAAAATCCACACTCGTCTGCTGGTGTTGCTATGCTGCCTTAATATGTGTACGAAGAACTGTTTAAACAACCTTGCCCCGAACGGCGTTCGCACGATATAGCATGAATCACTTATTGATAATAATAGTAAATTCTAGGCTACTCACAACGATAAAGTCTCAAAGGAAAATTTTGTACATCAATAAATAATGTCAAGCTACAAATATACGCCCTCCCACACGTCAACAAAATTACGCTTGATTTGGCATCGGTGCTTCTAAATAGTTGCCCACACATAATGTACAAAAAACAATAATTACCTAAATCGTATGCGCGTTCAACAATTTTCTTCGCGATTTTGATTGAGCATTCTTGTATTTTTTCAAGAGGCGGATATAGGCTTCCTTGGTCCAGGTCTTCTTGAGATACTATCTCTGACAAGGCCTGAAATCAGAAAAACATATGTTAATACATATTATGAATATGATAAAGCGCCAATGACTTTCGAATCGAATACAAATTAATTGTCAATCCGTCAAAAGTGTGTTCGTGCTCCCGTTTCCCATACTTTACCTTTCGTTAACTATACCATTACGATATCGATTACGAGACAAATAGCTACGTGTTATTGAATTTTAGTTCCTTAAACGACCGTAGCGGCGCTTATCTGGTTTTCATACAAAAAAATATCATTACGATTACCATAACCAGAACGATTGCGGTTCGTGCTTAGGGAGGGTACTGGAGTAGTTTTAATACTACACTATGTAGAGCATTTTCTTTTAAAAGTGAAATGTAGGTAATAATCTATTAAAATCTTTAAGGGTAATGGCACAGCTGACTTATTATTAGACTTTTTAAAAGAAATTAGTTTTAGAAATGCTCTAATAAACTTATCCAATAATTCCTCACAGTCTGACAATTATCTGTCGCCTTATGACCTAAAACACATAGTAGGCTCAGCGGCGAGCAGTATGAAGTCGTCGGTGATGTCGACGACGTCGGCGCAGATGTTGCCGAGCGCGAGGCCGGGGAAGATGTACGCGTTATTGCCGTCCTTCGTGCAGTAGTCGTGATCGAGCAACTAACTAACCTCAGCGGCGAGCAGCATGAAGTCGTCGGTGATGTCGACGATGCCGGCGCAGATGATGCCGAGCGCGAGGCCGGGGAAGATGTACGCGTTGTTGCCCTGCCCCGGTCGCAGCGTACGCCCGTCCTTCGTGCGGTAGTCGGGGAACGGCGAGCCCGACGCAAAGATGGCGCGGTCCTGGTGAAACAAAACGACATACGATTAGTAGAGTTTGGTAGCTAGAACCATAGATATAGGAGAGTACTCCCATATCTATGATAAAAACATCGGAATTCTAGGAGCCGATTGAATAAAGTGCAATTCTGAGATCATTTGGAAGAAAAATAAAGCGTGTGTGCTTATGACCACATGACTGAAGTGAAACTTCTTTAGCTCCAATGATCTGAAAATCATAAACTTAACCTGAAGATTTGTTGGGTACGTTATCACCCACCAATCTGCACTGGGTCCGTTATTATACACCAATCCGCACTGTGTCCATTGTCACCCACCAATCCGCGCTGGGCCCGTTATCACACTCCAATCCGCACTGGGTCCATTATCACCCACCAATCCACGCTGGGTACGTTATAACCCACCAATCCGCACTGGGTCTGTTATCATCCACCAATCCGCGCTGGATCCGTTATCATCCACCAATCCGCGCTGGGTCCGTTATAATCCACCAATCCGCACTGGGTCCGTTATCACCCATCAATCCACGCTGGGTCCGTTATGATCCACCAAGCACTAGATCCATGTATTTTGTGACGGGTATTGTTCATTGTTTACTGATGAGTTACCAATGACACTAATCGTAACGCGAAACTGTAACACATTCGCCAGTTTACCGCCCAAGTCAAGCGTGCCTAAAGAAGTTTCACTTCAATAACTAGCTTAGGGTGCTCAATAAAGCGAGAAAGTATTTCAAGCCATAACACCGGATGTTGCTTTATAAAGCACAGGTCCGGCCGCATGTGGAGTACTGCTCTCAACTCTGGGCTGGAGCACCAATACCAGCCAGCTCCTGCCTCTTGACCGATAGTACATCCTATATCTATGAATGATACTATAATGTCTATAGATAGAACTTAGCTTGGCCAGACTGAAATTAGTTGTTTGACTCGCATTAGAATTTTCTGGAGGGCTTAATGAAGGAAGAACTCGATTAGATTAGATTTCTTCAGTGATGGCTCCCTCAGGAAGAGGAACTAGATGGATTAAACAAGTTTCGCAACGATCGGTAATGGTATGGGTGACCAAAGATGTGTTTTGTGGGTCTTAGCTTCTCCGTGTTATCAAAGGCACGTGGTCCCGGCTGCATCTGCAGTTATGGCACCCACCATTCCGCACTGGGTTAGCGTAGTGTGTCGTGGACTAATCTTCCTATTCAATCCACGGAGAAGGCATTCACCCGAGCAGTGGACATTATTTGGCTGATGATGACGACCGCGCAGCCAAACGGCCAAGTTCAGAAGGCGTACCCTTAATGACTATTTTTTTAATCGAAAATTGTTTTGTTTCTTACATCCTTGGTCACTGCGGTAACGCAGAGGAAGAATACAGATGAAGTTCACGATACATCAAATGTAACAACTACCCTACCCTACCGTACCCTTTAATCAATAACATCTTTTAACCTCTGATAGTAAAGGAAGAAATTACTACTGGAAGAAATTTCAGATTGAAATAAGTTGTGCCCTTGTACATGTTATCTTTAATTAAGTTGCTCGTGTATATAAATAAGTTTGAAACTCACGTCTGTGTTGCTGTATGCTTCCTCGGCGGTGCACTCCGCCTTGCTGGTGGGGTTGGAGAGCGCGAATATGACCGGCCTGTCGTTGTAGGTGCTCATCTTGCGCAGTATCGACGGGGTGAACGCACCGCCTATAGCCGCCGCACCTGATAATGGGGAATTCAATAAATTCTCATTGCCAAGTTTATGTAAGCGACTCGCAACAGTGTAAAGAACTTTTAAAACATTTTTTTTTAAAAACCCTAGTTATATTTTTCTTATGCTGTGGTTTGAGCACTATACTTACATGTTTTGAACGGAACATTTGTCGATAACTTATGAGGGCAGAAGGGTTGACTTAGTCGATCACCCCCTCGTCCTGCTTGATAAAGAACTATCCTTGTGTACGATGAGACCTCCCTTGGGGCGGTTCTTCAAGATCAACCCCCGTTACCTATGTTGTAAGTACTTTAATAAATCTTACAAATGAGTATTTAACCAAGCTGACCACCTCTTCCACAGTTCTCACTGGTGCATGATCGTGAGCGAACTTCTTCTTATGTTCAATGAGGTCTCCTTCAGGGCGGTTCTTGACGATGAGCGCTTTGGAGTTTACAGTGTAGATGCGGCTGCGAGCGTTAAGGACTCTTGGTGTTAACAATGTTAAGAAGAAAAAGATATTACCAATGAGGACAGAAGGCCTGACTAAGTCGACCATCTCTTTGAGGGTTTTCACAGGTGTATGTGTTCATAAGCGAACTTCTCCTTGGATCATTGAGGTCTCCTTCAGAGCGATTTCTCACCATCAGCCCCTTAGAGTCCACCATGTAGATGCGGCTGCGCGTGTTAATGGTTATTGAAGCCGAATCCTTAAGATAAGCCCCTTTTACCTACGTCATAAGTAATGTAATATGTCTTATCAATGAATACGGATGATTTGACCACGACGACATCTAGTACGCAGTGGTGCATGATCATGAGATAACTTCTTGCATACGTCGGGACATTTTGAGACTGGTGCTTCTAAATCAGGCGCTGCTTTTTTTATGTCTTAAGTATTTTAATACGTCTTACCAAAGAGGACAGAAGGCCTGACCAAGTCGACCATTTCCTCATGGGTTCGTACTGGCTCATGCTCATGTGCAAATTTCTGCTTGTGCTCGTTGAGGCCTCCTTCGGGGCGATTTTTGACGATGAGACCATAAAAGTCCAAAATGCGGTTGAGCGCGTAAAGAGCTCTTGAGACGGATTCTAAGATCAGCCTTTGTTATCTATGTAATAGTACTGTAATATTTCTTACCAATAAGGACGGAAGGCTTGACCAAGTCGATCACTTCCTCAAGGGTTCGCACTGGCGCATGCTCATGGGCGAATTTCTCCTTATGCTCGTTAAGGCCTCCTTCAGGGCGGTTCTTCACGATGAGCCCCTTGGAGTCCACCATGTAGATGCGGCCGCGCGCGTCCGCCTCGCTCGTGCCTTCGGCTTTCATCGCCATCACGCATAACTCGGCGATTCCTAGCGAAGCCTACACATGACAACAATTAAGCATTATTAAGGTATACCTAGTTCTTTTGCTTTGATTATATGCAAGCTGAGGAGCTCGATGGCGCAAGTGGTTAGCACGTTTAGATGGGTAACCAAAAATGTACTATATCTAACTCTTCTGTGCTTTGGAATGCACGTTAAGCCGTTAGCACCCACCAAATTCGCACTGGGCTCGCGTGGTGGGACACGGCCCAGTATTCCATCCATAGGGAAGGCCTGTGCCCCAGCTATGCCGATTAATGTAGGCTGATGATAATGAAGACATGCAAGTTAATTAAACAGCACCTGTCTTACGGCAATCTTAAACTAATAATAAACGACTTACATCCAGACCTAAGACTAGCCCATACTCACTTATGAGGAAACTGGCTATTTCAATCAACGATATTATTAAATATCGTTAATATTAACTCGCTCATGTTTTGAAATTGTCCGGTTAAATAAGTTGAAAATGATTAAGTAAAATTTTTATTTCACGACGGCTACATAAATACCTACGTGAGTCATCCCAGATTGCTTGACTTTTGTTGAAATAATGTTCTTTTTCAGATCCAAGTTCTATAACCATAATAATATCATACAGCCATAGCAACACGTTATGCATTCAGACTTTTTGACATCTAAATTTCAACGGATTAATTCACCAGAAGGTCGTACGTTTCCGCCCCAATAAAAAGTATAGGAGCAGGTTTAAAATATATATGACTGATAATGCTGATATTTAAAAATCCTACCTCTCCAGCCCCTTGGAAGACGATGGTGTTCTCCGAGAGCTTCTTGCCTGTGACCCTTAAGCTGGTGAGTAATCCGGCCACCGCCACCGAAGCGGTCCCCTGAATGTCGTCGTTGAACGTGCAGTACCTGAGGGGGAAAAGACGTAATAACCTGGAATATGCTGATTGATAATAGGTAAACTAAAATAACCTAGCTTGAGAAACATTATAGATGAGGCGGAGAGACTTTATGTGGATCGATCTAGTATTGTTCATCGTCATCCTATATAGGTCGGAATTCAGAATTAAATACGATAAATATTGATTGCATTTATTTAATATAACTCGAAGTAGTAGGACTCAGAAACGTCAAATTCATTAACTGCTTCATTAAGACATGTATTGTCTCATTCTATTGTTATTGCTCAGAAAGTGACAGAATTAACTTAAGTGAAACATAAAAGATCATTGACTTTCAGACGACATTTAAAATAAAGAAAAGTAATGATGATTTTTTACAATAAATAAGTAAACTTTGATTCTGGCTACGTGATTACAGTAATGAGCAAAACACACGACTTTATCAGCTCATCGTCACAAAACGATTTCCCACATTGCACTCATAAAACGTCGAGATAAATTTTTAATTAAACAATAATTTCAGTTTCTCATTAATGCAAAAATATAAAAGGTAATTTCGGACTGAAGTCGAACGAAACAACTGAAAGAAAGGGAATACTTAAAGGAAGAATTATGTAGCGATTCTATAATAAATATTTTGTGCCCACTGCTCAGAGTCTGACAACTGTCTGTTGTTTTTTAAAATAATAAACTTATTATATTTGTTTTCCTCAGATATTGAACCGGAATCTATGTTCAAAATCTTTTGTAGTATTTGATTCCGAATTATCATGCTGCCCAAGCATTGTGCAACATGCAAATTCTCCTGGGGGCCTAACCGCCGAAATACCTCACGCTCATTTTCTTTAACATTGTTATTACCAATGCAAAAGAAAAAAAAAGAGCGCGAGGCATTTGAAAACCTCAGGGGGCTAGAAATAACAAAATGAAATCGTAAGCGATAGCGTTTTCCAAAGCAATCCAGTTAGGCGATTGGCCCCCTGGTTATTCATGTAACTTGTAACTTTGCTGTAGCAACGGCGCGCACCTGTGACCGCTTGTATAATTTAGACCAGGAATCAAATTGACAAGTTCCGCGGTATCTCCCGATCACCAACTTAGAGAAGTGTACAGAGGCTCAAGCACGAATTTTGACATCTCCGTTACTTATCGAATCGTCAAAGTTTCTATGAAACTTACAAAATTTGACGATGACGATATGTTATGGAACTGTCAAAAATTCGTGCTTGGGCCTTAGATTAGTCCATCGTCCAACACGTTCTGGTTATTCGTATGTCCACATCTCAACTAAATAAATCCAGTGGTGACAACGGCTCGAGCTTATCAACGCTTGCATAACCTACACCAGGAATATGGAAAACGAACCACCTAATACGACAACTTACTTCCCTATGGTTTTTCTCGGGCTAGAGCTTATCAACTCTTGTCGTAACCTAGATCACAAATGTGTAAAAATTACAATCATAATATTACAACTTACTTTCCGCGATACTTCTCGAGCAGTCGGAACGCGTTAGCATTGGCGAAGTCCTCGAACTGTATGAGACAGTTCTGTCCGAACCGGCGGACCACTGCCTGCATGAACTCGTCCAAGAACTCGTCGTAGGCGGCGCCACGTACTCGTCGAGACCGCAACCCGATGTACAGCGGGTCGTCCAACATGTTTTGGTTGTTCGTGCCCACATCTAAGCAACAATGATGACTTTTAAGTCAACAAAAAAAAAGAAATACACGTCAAAATGAAATAAACTCTTCTGGGTTAAAGCCTTTTGAGAACGAAAAAACATTTCAAAGAATAAATAAGCAACTTGGATATATTAGAAAGAATCAACCTCTTTTTAATGTCGCTATGAATAGTCACAGAGTGGTCTCTAAAATTAGATTTTTTAATTTTGAGATAATAGTTTGAACGCTGTGTAATCATAGGCACATAAGTAAATATTTATTTGTTGTAAAGTTTTCATTTAAATTTATCAGACCTTGCACTAATCCATAGTCCTCCTCCTAATTCACATGAATTGTCAAAAATTTACATACTTGTTTTATTTTTTCTGTAAGTCTACACTGTCAAGTATTTCTTTCAACGATAAGAAATCAGCAGTGTATATAGTTACCGAGTGTGATGGGCAGGCACTGGTGTGGCTTGATGCCGGCCAGAGCGGTGTACAGCGCCAGCTTGCCCACCGGGATGCCCATGCCGCACGCGCCCAAGTCACCCAAGCCCAGGATCCGCTCCCCGTCAGTCACCACTATCGCTCGCACGTCCGTCTCTGGCCTGACAACAAATGGAATAACTGAAGTGGCTCATTCTTTCCAAGTCATAACTCGGGCCTAATGGAATAACTGTAATCGCTCATTCTCTAAAAAGTCAGAACTCGGGCCTAGTGGAATAAATTAATTGGCTCACTCTATACAGAGTCTGAACTGTGGCCTAAAGGAATATAACTCGTGGCTCACTCTCAAGTCAGGAAATTTTAAGCCAACCGCTTCCAAATTTTGAAGAAGTGTTTAAGTTGTAAGTAACGGCAAGAGTTGGGGATTTGACAACATCACGATAAGAATATGTTAAGGATCTTAAGATTATTTCAATTTCTTGCTTAGTCTAGCTTCAGTATGTTTGATCAAAAGTACAGAAGAAACAATAGACAGTTCTTCACAGAGTGGTTATGAATGTTCTACTTATTTGTTTCTTGGGTTTTCACGCACATCACTCATTAAATAAAACTAGTTTTTACGGGTTAATGCACGAAACTTTATTTATTTATTGACGTTTCACAGCCTTTTCAGGTCTGCATCGTCAGAATAATGTTTTTTTATTTAAAATTGTCGAGCTACCTTCGAAAGACTTTCGAAGTGAATGTTCTACTTATCAAATATCTTTATTCGATTTGTTATGCAAGTGAAAATAAGATAAGGAAGAGTGAAGTCATGAAAAATAAAACGGTCTGTTGCAACTCCCTCACACCGCTTTTCCGTTTAGCGAGGACCGAGAATAAAGTGAACTCGAAAATAAACGAGTTGGCGGGTAAGAAAATTATTGCTGTCTTTGTCCCTTTGTCCAGAGGAGATAAAAGAGTTACTTGAGCGGGGAAAAATTGTCTTAAGCTTTGAGAAATCCTAAAAGCTAAAGTTTAGGGTGGCATTAAAACGATTCCCTAAGATTCTACAATGCATTTCTTTAACTTTGTCGCTTACTTAATAACTAAATATGCCTAGACCTATGTTAAAGCGAGAGTAGAGATCCACGACTTAGTTTAGGTGCCAGTCTACGTACAAATAACGTTTGAACACTAAATTGGTAACTTTATCTAGATTTAAGACTATTTTTAATGCGAAAAATTAACCCTATTATTTAAAAACTACTTTACTTACCAGTTCTTAAGAACATCGTAGATGTGGCCCTTGTCGTGGATGGTTATAAACAGTCCCCTGGGGCGGCGGTACACGAGCCCATACTTCTGGCACGCCAGCCCAACAGTGGGTGTGTACACTATAGGCAACATTTCCGAGACGTTCTCCCCGACGAACCGGTAGAATAGGTGCTCGTTGCGGTCCTGGTTATACGTGAAGATTGAAAAGTATTAGTTTTATTTCGACGGTTTTCTTCGGTTAATTGAGGATTTGTCAGCTATGAAATTTTGGAAATAGTCAGGTGCATATAGATGTTTAACTGAGTATCTACAGTCAGCTAATTTGTGTCTTTACTGCTGGGGCAGAGACCTCTATATGAACGGAATGGGGAGCTTAGACCATGATCCACAATCGTACTGTGAAGTGATGTGGGCAAATGACTGCAGATGCAGCTTAGCCAAAAGGTTTTAAGGTGCCTTCTGTCTGAAGCAGCGTATTGCTAGAATATTACAAAAAAAACAATAGAAGCAGTATCTAAGTAAAACGTAGCTAAGAGAATAAGTAGTTACCATGTTTTCTATTTTATGATCGTCATAAACCATACCTTTTAAAGGCATTTTAATTAGTAAACCACAAGAGTGTAGTAAATATATGGATCGAGAAGATTAACTGTCGGCAAGAATGAATAAAAATCTGACAGAACTTTATATTGTAAGTAAATGTTAAAAATTATGGGCATTACTTTTACATCGGCAATAATTAGCAAAATTATAATCTTAAAATCTATTAGATTAAGATAAAAGAATATATAAAATATAATTTTGAAACATTACACAAGATGTATTTACAAATATTACATACTCAATTAGATTTCGGCTTTTAACACGTCAAGAAACCGATTCCACAAGATCACTAAGCTAATTTCAGAGTAAGAATTTAGAGTTCAAATGTCGTCAACTACTGCTTGCGGTACGATTAGTCACTCTTAGACCTTGAGTTGCTTCATTTACCTAACTATCAATAGCACTTTAGTTATTTTATAATAACGTTTCAACCTTGCACTTGTGAGTAAATTGCTAAATCATGCCAGGAGAATTACCGACCGACGCCATAAAACATCGTGTCGTAAGTACAGCTGCCGGCTTGTGACCTTCGCGATAGGGAATCACGCATGGAAGCACCCTCTCACTGAACAAAGTTAATATCTTCGCAATTTCGCAAGGAACTTACAACATTTGCCCGAAACATCAAAGGGCCTTTGTCACAAGAATAATGTCACGAATGGTATTTTCTAATATGCTAAATAGGAACATGCATCATCAATAAAGTGAACCGTTTAAAAGTTAACAATTTGGGATGGCAATCCATCAAACCTGAAATCGGTCCTGTGAAATAAATTTTGCAAAACGGTAGGTAAGTACTTACTATATCTTGTTTTATTATCATCATCATGTTTATAAATAACGAATATTACAAATAGTTGCCTCTGGTTTCCCTGTGGTTTATAACACACTTTTCCTAATATATATGTACTTATTTGAACGAAGATCGAACTGTATCTTATCTTGAACCAAAACAAAATACGCTCGTGTCTAAAAATATTATATCTATTTTAGTATATGTAGTAATGTATGGCGCTATTTTTGCCTTAAGGTAATAATTTATTTCAAATTAATCACCAAGAATGAAGAAAGAATACGAAAGAACAATTTTTGACCTTAATAATTCGATTACGCGGAGCAACTACTACCAATTACTAGCTATTTGTGCCCCAAAAGATGGTATAAACCGATACTCTATTAATCTCTAGGTATATCAGCTGGTGAAACGACCTCGTTTAAGGCAATTAATTTTAAAAATGATAATCGCCTTTTTGTAGGAAAATAAACTTTTTACGCTTGTTAAAAGTTTAAACCGATCTGATTTTAAAGGAAACGCTTGCTAAACTTATGCTGAAGACGAGGAAGTCAGGCTGTGAAGGGACGACTAACATTTACGTTTTCTTAATCAAATTGACGAACTTTTATAATTTCTCGTCAAGATTCTCGAAAACTGCGGATATCCTGACTAGAAAACTAGGTTCGGACTAAGTTAGCACATAATTAATAAGTTTATGAAATGTATTTTACATAATATTACAGAGGGTTGGACACAACGAATTTGATGTTTGAATTGGGGCGCCCGACTGGGGAAGTACTTCCATCTTATAGAAGACTGCAGTGGAAATATGGAAATATTACCTTTTGGTGATAATAAGTTTCTATCGGCTATTTATAATATAAACAAAACAACAAATTACTTCACCCCATCTGGTGTTAGTGATTATGTGTAAATGTTGGGGCGGGTAGGCTTCAGTTACGAAAACAGCTATGGTATACGTTACAACGATTTGTGTTCCTTAAGTGGTAGGCAAATTGAATTCGGGCAGACAAACAGTGAGGTTCCTCTGCAACATCATCTATCTTCGAGACTGATCTCCACTGACAATTATGTACTATGAGGTGAATTTGGCATAGTAGGTATCTTGAAAAATAAAAAAGCCAAGCAAACTCACCAATAGACTCATTAGATAGATATATTTGTTGAGCGGGTCCTCGTAGCGGTCGATGGACAGCTTGCAGAGCTGCACCTGCTCCTCCTGGCTCTTGACCCTCGCCGGCAGCAGTCCGTGGATACCCAAAACCTGGCGCTCCTCGATGGAGAACGCCATACCCTGCAAAGACAATAGTTTTAGGAATCATACACAATACAGGCACTAAGTGGTGTTGTTACGGAAACGTATATAAACTAGAAGAATGAAGGAGATGGATCTCTGTAACGGACAGAATTATTGTTCATATAATTTTTGTGCGTGCGCAAATGTGAAAAGCGCTTGTGTATATCAGTAACAACGCTGATGCTTTCGCAACATTGGTTTTTGATGGCGTATATACGTTGCGTTTGCTTTTCAGTTACGGAAAATGTCATATTACACATTATAATGGCATCAAGCAGTAAGGATACTGAAAAATACATTTTCGACTTGGTAATAGGCAATCTGGATTCCTGAGTTCATAATGAAAAGCCGAATAGGCAAGTGATGGCTGAGAGGTTTCTCCAGGTTTAGCTCGTTCCATCATATCATGATTAAGGGTAAACCATTATATTATAACAAAACAACAATATTTTCTAGCATTTATTTTGATTTAAATATGATACCTAGTACAAACTTTATGACTACTAAAAACCAATAAAAACTTGTCTCAACTTCCAAAGCATCATTCAAACTGTCAAGTCATTGTGACAATGAATGACTCAAAAAATTTCTACAGTTTGGAAATACACAACGTGAGTGTTGACGTCATACTTTTAGTCCGGAACTAACTGCGAACGTAACGTACAGTGACCGACCGCAGTCAGCTGATATGGAGGCTGAACGTGATGTGCGACCTTCAAAGCTGTGAACTAACCTACAACAACCTTATGATGCATACACATAAAACTCATTCTCGTACGCATGTAATTAGTACGGTAACGTGCCAAGAACACGTTGATTTTGCAGATATTGGTTGCGTTGAACTTTGGGCTTCGCGAATGATTGGTTCGTGTTTAAACAAAATTCAAACGATCCGATGATTTACGTATAATTTGCTGCTAGTATTTTAACTATAATAAAATTTGAATATAGATGAAACAACGCGGTCAATGTGTTAGTTGCACTCCAGTGCCAGCTATAGTTACAATTTAAAGAATAACTTTAACCGGCCTCGCTTGGACAGTTACTGTCACTGTCAAATTATGGTTGCAACCCATTTTATTGTTATGGTAAGGCGCAAGTTACAGTAATTTGGTGCAACTCACGCTAAAGGTATGAGTGGATGTTGTATTGGTAGCGATGTTTTTTTTGACGTGACAACGTCTTAAATTAGGTTGCGGCTGGGAGTCACTTATGAAAAAGTGTAACGCTCGGTAACGTTACGATGAGTCTCTCGTGTTAAGTTTAAGTTTACATGTACAATGTTTTAGTAAACAAAATATATTTCTATAGTTAAAATTTGTGCAATTCTTATTTTCATTCAATTCCTTGTTCCTATTGTGCAATTTAATTATATTCATATCAATAAATATTCTACCGAGAAAAAGACGTTGTCACGTAAAATCTTCGCCCGTAAAACCGACTTTACAGGCAACCATTTTTTTTTTTTTTGTAAATGTTGCTAATTCTGTTGAACGTTGATGAGTTTGTTGCGCCTATTCTTTTCAAAGATGTCCTGAATGCGTGGTAGGAAAAAAATATGAAAAAATATTGGATGATTCAAAAGAGTTTTCAATAAGTCAATTTGAATAAAGAATAATAACATTGCATTTCAAAGGTTGTCGAATATTTTATGCGTTATTAAGTCCCGGCAACGGGTCGCCCAAGTATGATTTTGTCGAGAAAAGAATTTGGTGGCACCACAAGGCCGTGAAACAGCATTTTTCCGTCAATAATTGGTATAATGCAAATACCAATGACTGATTGTTTTATTTCAAATATACTGTGAGTTGTGAATTGTAATCCTAATCTTTATAAGTCCTTGGTAAAAAAAACGTCAAAAACACTGCGAGGTAAAAGGTCAAATGAATATTTCAGAGATTGTTTTAGGCGAAAATCCGCAGCGCTAATTAACAGTCAATTTGCGACTGTAAAATCTTGAAATGTATTATTCAGCAGTTGCTAGCTAGGGTTGGTAGCTCAAACCGGAGATGAGTTTCAACTTTTATACTTAAATAGGATGGTAAATGTTCCGTTTTGTCACATTAGCATTTAAACAAGTTCTTTGTGGAAAGAAATTTTTTAATTGATTTTATAAGTGCAGGTGTAGGACTTTTTTTAGTAAAAAAATCACCGCACATACAATGTATGTGTATTTGACCGTATCGTCTTTTGGCGCTGTTACTATGTTTGCATTTAATTTGAGGTTAAAAGCTAGCTCTTCCTTCACATAATTTTTAAGGTTTCGTACCCAAAACCCTATTCTATCTCTCTGTCGTATGTAAGTCTGTCTGTCCGTATGTGACCCGTCTCTAATCGTAAACGGAATGAATTACAGAACTGAAATTTTGTATTTTATGTAGAAAGTTTGCCCGGAACCGAATATTTTGTTAAAAATTCAATTAAATTATTTTCTACGTAATCATTTTAAAAATAAATGAATAAATTAATATAAAACTAGCATTTGTGGGGGAGGGGGGGGGGTCCGATACTCCCATACACCCCTAGCACGAACCATTATCGAATTGGAATAGTTTGCAAACCGAAATGTCAATGTCATATTTTGTACGGAAACTTGAACAGCAGCGCCAATTTGGACGTAACGGGAACTAAAAATCAGTACACATTTGACAATGACATTTCGGACTCGCCAACGTTACGAATTCGATTTTGGTTCGTGCTGAGCGTGTCGCACTCGCAATTAGCTGCTTCTCTTTTATTCCACAGCAAAGTTTGCAGCTAATGCATCCATTTAAATGATTTTACCTTTCACTTCTAAACACGTGGAACATTGTAGAAAAAATTGTCTACATTATAACACTACCTATTATTTTTTATAATTTGTACATATTTGTATTGCAAACGATAGTGGTTCATTATTTCAGTTCCTTTTGTATCAATATTTTTATCGTCAAGTCTACGTCCGTTTCGGAGGCGTGTCCATGACGTAAGCCTCTATTTTTGGCTCATAACACAAGGCAATATTTCAAATGAACTTAGCAGAACATTAAAACTTCGTTATGTATGTGTTTATTATCTTTATACTTACTTATAAAGAAGTGAATCTCTATTTCTCTATGTAACACCATAACTTGAACGACAATTTTACAGACTAAACTTATATTTTCTGTAAGTTTCGCTCTTACGGGCAAAATAAATTTAGAAAATTGCATACATCAAAAGGTCCCTTTTCTTTAACTAAGTACTTCAATACAACAACCTTTAATGTTTAAAGCGATAGTTATACAGTAAAGCAGAATGGGAACAACCTATCCTGACCTTATTTAAAATAATGCAAATGCAATTTCACCTCTGATAATGCCACAACAACCACAATGTGTTATGTTTTGTAATGAAATTCATAGGTTGAAATAAGTCAACTTGGAAATATAGCAGAAGGTTTTGGAATTGTAAGTATAAAATACATATTTTATGTAATAATTTCGTAAGCAAAAGCTCCTTGCTTGCTTGTGTTTGTCGCTGAGAGGTTTACCTATGCATGTTATTTTTTTGTATAAAATCCGAAAGAAAATTCTTAAAATTCAACAAACAAGGAACATGGTATCAATCCCACTAATTACGCTAATTACTTTAATGTAAGTGACCATGAAATTTTAAAACAAGTAAATGGTAAGGTACCAAAATAAACTTTAAATTATATCATTAATCCAATTAAGATAGCTAAGGCCGCGTTGTTTCATCTATAGTTGAATTTGACTATAATTAAAGTACTAGCAAAATAATATAATAAGTATGTAAGATATGACGTGACATTAACTATTTACTTTAACTATGTTTCAAATTATGGGGTATTGAGCAATACCATTTTTGATGATGTGTAATCGTCCTAAGTAAATAATATAAACGTACCCTAGAGTCCACAGCGGCAAGACATTCCGGTATACAGAAGGGTTCCCGACGAGGCACCAGCTGCCACCAATCCCTTTCCATCTTCATAAACAGTCGCTCAACTCACACTTATCACATATTGCACATGCTATCAAAACAGTAACTGAATTTCTCACAGTAAATAAGTCAGTGTTCAGCTAACGTTTGCTATAAGTTTTAAACTCCAATAGGCTACCGAAATTTGGAAAGTTTTCCCATACGACACGAATTCACAAGTATTCTAATCAATGTATTGTTATTCGATTATTGTAATATCAAAATCTCAAGGAAATGATCATTTCAATTCGAAGCTTTTCATGTGGTAATGTAAGCCGCTTAACAAACCGAGCGCAGTACTGCACGGTAACCAGGGTGGGAGTGTTGGCAAATACGAAGAAATTATTAATTTACTAGGACGGGACGCCCCGTTTCTATGCCCAAAGGGTGTTAGCCCCATCGATCGGGCAAGTGTGTGCTAGATAGAAAAGTGCGAAGTGTGTTTGATCTGCGATCGTGTATCTACTTTAATGATGTATTGGATGAGTGAACAAAAGCCGACCAAGTATGAGTCGGACTCGCGCACCGAGGGTTCCGTACAAACTCAATTTGATACCTCTACGCGTTCATGAGAGAAGAGGTACCTAGTAACTTTAAAATTTTCAAAAACATTTTTTATTATATTATGTAACTAAAAATTTACGTTTTTCGCAATTTTTATCTGTACTATAAGACGTTACTTCGTACCATTTTTCAAGATTCTAAGTTCACGGGAAGTAACTTGTAGGTTTTGATTCCCGTGCGAGTTTCGAAAATTTGCGGAAATTTGCGGCATAAACGGTTGTACTTTAGATTGCTTTGGTTTAGAAGTTTGATTTTTTTCACAGCTCCAAGGGATAGTAGACATGAGTATTAGATATGAATTTCAGTTTGATACCTCCACGCGTTCCTGAGAAAAACGGTCTTGACAGACGGACGGGCGGAATCCTAAAAATGTATCATAATCGTCGTTTTAATTTTCCCCACTGCTTGGGCGCAGGCCTTCTTTATGTATGGAACAGGGAGATTGGGTCATGACATGATCGACCAAGAGA